CATAGCCTTCAAGGTCGAATTAAATTTTTCAGACGAGTTTTTGAACTGAAAATTTTACATCCGCATGTAACCTTGACGTCAAGGTCATGTCAAGCTTAAACGTTATTTGTAGGTCAGCCACTAGATTTTTATGCCTAAACGAGAAAACATATTTCAACGTGAATGATAAAATGTTACCTTGACCTTGTAGGTCAATGTCATAGTCAATGCCGCCTTTGGGTGACCAACACAGACCTCGCAACTGTGATGTCAAACATTTTTGCTAGAGCAAATTGTTTTCAACACTTTATTTGGCCTTGATCATGATACGGTCATATTGGGACGTAAAATTTCCTCTTATCATTTCAAGTGAAAAAACGAGGGTTCTGTTTGCAAATATTCACATGACCTTGAAGTTCGTTCTCAATGTCATCTCTTCTAGGTGTAGCTCCGTAATTACAGAATAAGGCCTTTGGATTGCCGCATTGTAAGGTGTTAATAATAAATCGCATGTATTCGAACATATTTTTTATTTTATTCTAAATGAATGTCAGTCACAACATAACCGAAGTCACTACTAAAAAATATCACACACTTTAATAATAATAATCGGCTAAAGCTTATCAACATAAAGTCTATGATGTTTTGATGATCGGTGTTTAACTTCAAATATGTACAGAAGAATATGATGAGTGTATGTCTAACGATTAAAACCCCGTATAAAAACTGGAATTTTGTGATCCGAAACAGCCATCTAACATGTCGGTGTTATCACTCACAACTTAAATGAAAATGAGTATAAAGCACAACACCCAGTCAAACAGGAGTGGCTAGTCAAATCGCAATCGCAATACTTTGGAATATGTCCAAATTTGTGAGACTCTATATAACCTGCCACTACTTAAGTTTAGCCACAGATCAGTCTTTGCCTACAATATCTAGAAAATCCTTTATATCTCAGCATTCATTCCTTTTCTGCATCTTCAACTTGATCATATCCTGCCAAGAGGCACTTTCAACATATACATGACCTTCACAATTTACAATACAACTGCTATCATTATTAATATCAGGAATTAACTCTAGCATATTTTTTGAGCTGTTAATTGTAGATTTAACGTTGTCCGATATTTCGCACGTCTTAGATTTGATCAGGAATTGAACGTAGTCTTGACAGGCGTCGGCTAGTCTCAAATGAAGAGAACCATCTAGGATGTTGATTTCTGATCCCTCTTCTGATATTCGGAACAGATGAATTTTCGCTTTGCCTTTTTCGAGTACGAGTTTCAGTTTGCCATCAAAACCGGCTGGAATTTTTCAGAGTTTGCTTGGTGATTCAGGAAATTTACTTTCAGCAACTTACCCAGATTTATGTTTCCTTCGTGTATAAAAATCTTGCATGACCTGTGAGCATTCTGTAGTTCTAGGTTGCCATTTACAATTCAAAGTGGCTTTCATGGGAATAGGCTGATTCACATTGATGTCTCCCTGATTCGTTTCAAGATCAAGTTCAGTCCTTGCATTTCGTCCTGTGGTTATTGACTGAAAATGTAGATTCCAAAAATGCTTTAAGATATTTAAGTGTGGTAGTTCCACTGCAATAACAAGTATTATCAATTGAACTAACAATAGGAATCATAAAAATTACAGGTTATCGAAGTTGGTCTTTATTTAAAGTGAGTAGTTGATCAAAGAAATGTTTTTATCTTACTGTAAATTACAAGTGAAACAAATTCACTACGCTCTAAAAGTGATACAGCCCGCAGTAATAATCTAACGTTTTTGCGGATTTTGGTTCTGACATCTTTACCGCTCGGTTACGATGCCTAATAGGCGAGACCTAACGATTTAGTCAATTTATCAGTTGATAGGGCCGCTATAGTGGGACTTTCGGGAAGGCTGGACGTTTCTTTTCGGGCAATTGCAGTTTAGAGTGCAAAGAAGTGTAGACACTGTGGTTAGGTGTTGTCAGGCGTGGCTTCGAGAAGGCCGTACGCAAAGAGCAAGGGGCACTGGACGCCGCCGTAGAACAACGACCGTGAAGATCGCCGCCTAAGATTATTGGCCTTTAACTCGAGAACACCGACGTAATCGCCTTGAGTGGTGCAGACAACGGTCACTCTGGGATCAGGAATGGAACAGTATTGTCTTAGTGACGAGTCTCGATTTTGTTTAGGCATGCACGATGGTCGTGCCAGGGTTAAAAGGCGACGTGGTGAAAGGAGGAATCCACAGTTTTTGTTGAAAGACATGTTCATCACACTGTTGGAGTTATGGTTTGGGTGCTATAGCTTATGGTTCCAGGTCACCTTTAATTCATCAGAGGTAACATGAACGCGCAGCGTTATATCCCCGAAGTTCTAGAACCCCATCTTTTACCCTATCTTGACACCCTGGCAGATCCAACTTTCCAACAAGATAATGCCCGACCACATGTTGCAAGAGTCACAATAGACTTCTTTCAACATAATGATGTCACATTGTTACCATGGCCACCAACATCTCCCGACTTATCCCCAATTGAGCACGTATGGATATGATGGGTAGGAGATTGCTCAATTTGCAACGTCCTCCTCAGACTCTAGAAGCACTTCGAGAGGAGTTGGTGGTTGCCTGGAATGAGATACCACAGGAGGACATTGACCACCTGGTCAGAAGCATGCCTAGGCGCGTTGGAGAATGCGTAGCACATCAGGGTGCATCCACACATTATTAAAGGTCAAAGGGCTTTAAAGCAGTGCAATCATTTTGAAATTTTATCATTTACTTATTATGCTTCATTAAGTACTTATACAAAATTTTATTAAAATAAAACCATTTAAACTGGGTGTTCGGATTTATATGTCACTTAGTATATCTTGTTCACTCACTGCCAATGAAGCTGTATTCTCAAAATTACAAGTCCTGCAAAATAAAGCTATGAGAATAATATTGAATAAAAATAATTACACCAAAATAAAATCTATGTTACACGAACTGCAGTGGTTGAATATAAAAAATTCCATATCATATTTTTATATTTAAAATAAAAAATCATCTTTTGCCACAACATTTATAACACTACATAGAATTGAATCTTCATTACCACAATTATTATACAAGAGGAAATATAGATTTGCATTTACAAAACTGCAATAGTAATATAACTAGCAAATCAATATTTCAGAAAGGATTACTTGAATTTCATAAACTGGATAATGATATAAAGTCTACTTGTAATTTAGAGATGTTTAAAAGAAAATTAAAGGAATATTTCATGGACAGTGAAAATTCTCAGTGATGCAAATTTTGTTTTTCTAAATAAATATCTGTATGTTTTCTAATTGTTTAGTTTTTGAATGAATGTAATTGTAGCAATCATGCTAAATAAATCTTAAACAAACAAACAAATGATTGATATTTTTTCCTCGAAAATTGTGTGTTTTAACGCCAAACAAACAAAAATCAATATTTTCAAAATCCCCTATGTATTTTTTTTAGCTATAAACTTGTAAAAATAAGTTGTTTTTTTTTCTTTTCCTAGATTCAAATTTGCAGCAGCTACACAGCCTCAAATTCTATGTGCCTCACAAAAATGGCTGTAGTGCCACCATTTTTGATTTTTTTAATACTTTTTTTTTGTTACTTAATATTAATATTACCAATATCATTATTTCATTATCTTTTCTTTCACAAAAAAAAACTTTTTAGGCTGCTTGAGGTGAAATGACATAGCTATCATGTTGGTAACATTAGATAAATCCAAAATAACTTTGAAAGAAATGCAGCTGAGTTTGTGGTAGCCCTGACATATTTGGAATCTATGGATCCAGTTGATGCTGGAAACAGAGACTTGTCCTCATCACAGACAGGTAGTAATTTTTTAAAAATACTCTTGCAGATCTCCTAAAATGTAAACTGTAGGATAAAATTGATTTTACCCCGCGCATCAAATTGCAAATGCACTGAATTTACCCAAAACAAGGAATTTTGTTCAAATCACCGACACTCAGGGGAACTTTGAGAATTTCTCAAAGAAATTCTAAAGCTTTTTGAGAGCTAATTTGTGGTATTCAAAATCATTGTCAAATACTTACACCATTTTCTTGTACATAAGCAGATATATTTGCAGCTTGTACAAATTCATTCAATCTTATATTGCCATTTCCAGTAATGACATTGACAGAATTACCTTGGAACCTGTCTACATATACATCACCTTCTTGTGATGTTGCATACAACTTATCACCTTGGAAATATCCTACGTTTATATCTTTCTTTGAATTTATATACAGATCTAGAATAATAGAAAATATAAGTACCAGATTTTTTTTTAATGACAACAAAAACTGATAAAAAAGGATAAATGGCTCCAAAAGGATATTGTTTTACTCACTTGCTTTAACTGGTGCCTTAACATAACACATAACGTCTTTTTCTTCGATGTCAACAGTCTCGTCAATTTTGACCTGATTTCCAACAACATCATGTTGCAACGAATTTTCGCATCGTTCATCAACCTTTATGATCAACTTGTCTAAATTATGATACTTATGGATATTTAACGGCTTTACAGTTACACTGTAAGGGAGATCAATATGTACGTCGCAAAATGTTGGTACTTCTAGTTCCTTTTCAACATAAGTAGCAAAAGCTTTCAGTTGCAACAATTTGCTTGGTCTTAAATCACGTAGCAATAACTTTGTAAGAGCAGCCCTGAAACAGAGCGAGTTAAGTAGGTCCAGTTATTTGCGTTTAATATCCAACTTACATTTTTGACCACTTTTACTTAAATCTCGAGCGCAGCACATATGTTCAATGTTTACACGTTTTGTTTTTGTTGGGTCACCATAACCTCTAAATAACTTGCGTAGCCCTAAGAAAATTATTCTTGGAACACCTAACGGAGCACTAGCTACAGCCAAGCCATTCAACGGGGCTGATCCACTATAAGATGGGAAAAGGGGCGTAACTATTAGTTAAGCCGCGCCCCCTTTCTGCTTAGGCAGTTAGGAATTTTCTCTCTGTTGTTTGCTAGTATTCTATGGTTGATTTCAAAATGACAGAAAAATGTCCTTTTTCCCGGGTCGTTTAAATTATAAACTTTTTATCGGAAATTTGAGAAGTGAAAAGCACTCCGAACAATATTGCCTACGAATTATAAATGGTTTTACATAAATGCAGCTGCCAAAAGCTACAGCAATCTAAATAATGTGCAAAGTGAAAACGTATTTGAGCGGTCGAATGTGAGAGGTTATAAGTTACAAAATGTGACCATGTAACTGCAGGATTGTGTATTATCTTGGTTTTAAACATAATTACATAAATATTTCGTTTGGTTATCGCATTTTCCATCAAAGTTTCGGTACAAGAACACGTAACGCGCGAAACTTTTATAAGTTGATGCAGAGGCCCCCAAAAAATGGCAAGTATATTGTGCAGAAGACTTCTATTAACAAGGACATTATGTGTGAAAGAATTATCAGTTCTGGCAGCTTGGCCATCAACAAATGTTATTACCAATCACAAATTATTTGAGCACAACGCCAAAAGTAGTGATCAGAACAAGATTGTAGTAGCAGTGCCCTTCCCAAGTAGTATCCATATTAAGTATTACTCAACACAATCAGATGATAAAGGCAAAGATGAAGTCGCTAAAGAAGAGACAAAGAAACTCTCATTGTTCCAAAAATTCAAGAGTATGTACAGAGACTATTGGTATGTTCTAGTACCAGTTCACTTGGTGACATCAGCTGTATGGTTCGGAGGATTTTACTATGCTGCAAAAAGGTAATTTACCATTTGAATTTATTTCCCAACAGTGGTGATATGGTCTTAATACAATTCAATAATATTTCCTAGCTTATAATGGAAGAATTGCCGCTTTTAGATAGTGCAAAAGCATGACATTTATAGAGGATATTTTCCAACTCAATTTTTTTTACAACAACATTTGTTCTATACCCCCCTTAGCAAGAATCAACAGGTTTCCAGGCACCTGGTGCAATGGGGGGGGCATAAGTGTGGATATTTTACTATAAGATCCTGAAAAGTATTTTGGACTTGGTTTATTTCAGAACCTTTTTATTTGATGGAATATTTCCATATGATGAAGGAGGCGCCCATGTCCCATGGCAGGTTATTAACAATTAAATAGCAATCCTTTAAAAAACGTGTTTGCATTGTGGTCAAAGTGATTAGTTTCATTCAAAAAACGCCATTATGAAAAAAAAAGCGAGTTGGAAAATTTAGCATCTGACCATTCTTACTAGTGCTTAAGCAGTCCATACACTGCTTTTTTTAAATTTATCCATGCACATATTACTGTAGAACTGTTTGATATTTTTAAGACTATATACAGTAGTGGACAAAAGTATATAGACAAATATGAATATTTACCTAAATACCTTTAGAAAACAAATTCATACTTCATTGCTCCATAAACAAATGCGTTATTAGTATAAAAACTGAATTCCTTGTTTTAACATTATCTGCAATGAACACAATACAAGTCTGAATATAGGCACTTTTTTATGAGGGACAAAAATATGTAGACAAATTCTTTTCAACATTAGCTTAGTACAGTTTTGTGTCAGAAGAGGATTAGTTTGTGTTCATCAAGTATTGTGGAATAAGTTGAGTGATTTTAATACAATGCCACATGGTCCAGAAATTTCTTTCAATGTAAAAACTAAGATCACTGAGTTATAGAAAGATGGTCAATGTCAAATCGACATTGCCAAAAATTTGAAGCTGAAGCGTAAAGCAGTTTGGGCAATATTGAAAAAATATAAACAAAAAGGTAACTTGGAAGCCTCTAAGAGAAGTGGTTGGCCAAGAAAAGTAAATGCTAGATCTATTTAGATTAATAAAAGTAATTTCCTCCAAAGATCTGTTAAAACCCCCAAGACAAATAAAAGCTGAAATTGAGAAAAAAGGAATGGTCAGTGTTTCTACGAAAACTATAAGTAGAAGGTTAAATGATTTGAAGTTATTTACACGTCGCCCAAGTAAGAAGCCGCTAATCTCAAGGAAAAACTGTAAGGACCGATTACAATTTGCACTGTTGCATCTTGATTGGAGCATCTGTGACTGGAAGAGGGTATGTTTCAGTGACGAATCCAAGTTCAATATGTTTGGATCAGATGGTGTTCATTATGTTAGATGTCCTATTGGACAAATATTGAACCCCTTTGCCCACTGTCAAACATGGAGGCGGGTCTGTTATGGTTAGGGGGTGCTATTTGGGGTTTGGTATGGGACCTTTACTTAGAATAGATGGCATTATGGATAAGTTTGTATACACAGACATACTAAAGCATGTCATGTTACCCTATATGGAAGAAAATATGCCCTTAAGATCAATCTTCCAGCAAGATAATGACCTGAAGCAGACTTCAAATCTCGCAAAGAAATTCTTTCTGGATGAAAAAATACCAGTTCTCAAATGGCCTTCACAGTCTCCCGATATAAACCCCATTGAAAATCTATGGGAATACTTAGATAAGCAAATACGAGATAAAAATTATTCAAACGAGGATGAACTTTTTGCCGCTTTAGAGCAAAACTAGAGACAGATTGATGAATCTTATATCAAGAAACTTCTACAATCTATACCGAGACGATGCCAGGTGGTGATTGATAATAATGGTTATGCTACAAAATATTAACACATGGTTGGTTTTTTATAATTCAATGAACTTTGCTGCTTTTTTCTATAATTGTTTTGCTTTGTCTATATATTTTTGTCGTTCATAGTTCCAGTTTATTTCAATTAATTTTTTATTGAAAGGAGTCTAATGAATTTATTTATGTATAAGTGAGTATTATGCTATAACGAATTATGTATAGAGGTTGGTGTATTAATAAAACAAGTTAAACAATATTAATTTGTCTATATACTTTTGTCCATTACTGTATATAAGCTATTTAGATTGATATCACTACATCTCTCTGAAAATAATATTTTCTGTTTTGTGAACTTAATTTTCAAATCTAAGATCTATTACTGTTATCAACATTTTTATCAGTTGCCAATTTAAAAATGATTTAAAAGGTGAAATTGTTGTGTGTGCCGCAGTTTTTAGTTTATCTAATGTGCAACAACTTATTTCTGTTCAAGTATATTGTTAATACATTGGATTTTATTGTATGCATACAGACTAAATACATTTTCAACTCATTTATGTATGTTCTATTCAAAGATATTTATATATTCGTTGAAATGAGTTCAATACCACTTTGTTTTATCTACACTCCATGATAAACCATAGTAAGGTAAATATAATTGCTTAACACACTGTCTGTCAATTGTCAAGAGTCTACTGTATCTCCATAGTACATTAAACATATTTGCCTAATTTTATCTATTATATGCTGTTGAAACTTTTCTTTTTTTTCCAGTGGCATAGATATCGTCGGACTTTTGGAATACTGGAACGTCCACGAAAAAGTTGTGAACTCTCTCAAGGATTCCAGTATGGGGTACCTGACAGTTGCATACGCGCTGTATAAAATAGCTACACCAGTCAGGTACACAGTGACAGTAGGCGGAACAACTGTTTCTATAAATTACCTGAAGAAATGGGGGTACATCAAACCAGTTCCTAGCAAAGAGAAATTGAAAGAAATGTATCATGACAAGAAAGAAACATTTGCAAGGACAGTGCAAGAAACTAAGGAAGAAATCTTAGAGACTAAAGAGAATATTATAGAAACTATTCATGAAAAGAAAGAGGAAATTAAAGATAAGAAAGATAGTATATTGAAGAATGTCGAGAAGACAAAAGATACTTTGAAAAAGAAGACAGAAGATATTGCAAGAAATCTTCATGATTACAATAACGCTACTAAAAAATAAATGGAATTTATTTTGTACAATCTGTAAATAAGACTAATTTTAGAATACATTTTTACTATACCATTCAAATGGTCTTGAGTGCAATGATTGTAAATATAATCTGAAAATTATTATAAATTGTTACTATTAGTATCGCCTTTCAATCAGTACCTTTGACGCATTATATATAGCACCTTGATTCATACAGAATATCAATATTTTGCCTCCAAAACGTCTTCACAATTTTTCCATGATCAACCAAGGCCACAACACGCCACCCAAAATTTAAATGAAAATGTTCGCGCCGAAACTATAACTCCTAGGGTGACAACTTATTATTCTGTGTTCTATGACCAGGGATGCAGGTCCACCAACCTAGTATTGACATACAGATGTAGATGTTTTGTGGAGATTGGTGCGACATGGAAAAGGAAAAAGCTACCAAAAGATAAAATTGTTATTTAGCTGTTGACAATTTTTCGTGGTTGAAGATAGAATAAATACCCCAGAATCACCCAACATTTTATCCTCCAAAAGTTCCCAGGGGACGTAAATACCCATCATCTGGGAAACAATCCCCAATATGGCAATTCTGTGATTCACGAATCCTACCTGAAGATAGCCAAACATTCCGACGTCCAAAAAGGACGTGAAAGATCTTATGGCCCTCTGTGAGGCAACAGTGAATTCAAAAATCAACTTTGAAAAGTTCTACTGTATCATAAATGGCGCTAGAATATTCAGTCCCATTTTGGCTTCTCTTTATTGCCTATTTTATGTTAAATGGGTATCTTCAGGTGGAATACGTTAATCAATGCCTGGTTGGCTATCTTGAGGTAAAACTGAATCATATTTACATTTGCTTTCAGCGGGATAGACATTGTTGGAATCCTAGAGTCCTGGAACGTCAGTGAAAAGTTGCTGGACAAATTAAGAGACTCCAGTATGGGCTACGTCGCCGTCGCTTTAGCTCTATATAAAATAGCGACTCCACTGCGATACACAGTTACACTTGGCGGTACTACAATTTCAATTACTTATCTGAAGAAATGGGGGTACATTAAGCCTGTACCGAGTAAAGAAAGGCTAAAGGAGATGTATCATGACAAAAAAGAAAGTTTTTCCAGGACTATGAAAGAGACAAAGGAAGAAATGATGGAAAAGAAGGATAACATTATGGGCAGCATACAAGAAACGAAAGAGGAGATCAGAAGTAAAAAGGATTCTTTGCTTAGAAGCGTCAGGAAGACAAAACGTAGGTTGAGGAAAAAGGCGAATGGTATAGTGAAAAAACATCCTGGCGCTGAAGGTAATGGAAATAAAAGAAAACCGTAATCTAGGACGTCGTATATTATATAAAATAACTTTTTTTGGTTCTGTATACCATTTATTTAATGTTCAAGTCTGGTTAAATTATCATAATGTAATATATTTATGTAATATTTTGGCCTGTTTTTTCAATAATCACCTGCAAAATTATTCGCATAATGATTGTGCCCGCATAAAGCTCATTCTCTTTTCGAAACATAAATGATGTTAAACTTTTGATTTAAATCTATAGCGTGAGAAAAATACGGAAATGTGTATTGTTTCAAAAATGGATTCGTTCAAGATTTTCCGACAGATTTGGGACCCAGTCCGAACCCATTGAAGTTGTCCTTGACCTTGCTTGTAAGAGAAGATCTACGCCACTGGACTGTCACAATTTTAACGACCAAAATGTTACTACAGAAGTGTCAAAATTCAGTCTGACCACTACAGCGAACTGTTAAGCACTAGGTAATATTCGACTGTTTTTAAATAATTTTTCGAAAGAACATAAATCATTTAGGCAAAAAATATTTTTCTTCTGTGCTATTATCATTGTATTTCGTTATTTTGCGGTCTGGTAGTTTGAAAACAATCCCCATTTCTACTGCAGCTTTCTCAAATTTGAAGCTGTCAATCAGACCAAAATCCCCTAAAAAGTCTTCGCAACTGTCCATCATTCGCGGACAGAAGGCACACGTGAAATTAATCCAAATTTTAGCCGAATTTTATTTATAATACTTCTAGGTAAGTCTTTTTTCCATGAAAATTCCTTATTTTTCATTTATTACTCATCCACAATTCCAATATTCTTTTGTTGGTAATTTTATGGTTGATTATTCATTATTGCACAGCTAAAGAATCTTTCCATTGTATTATGAAGGTATGTTGCAAAAAAGCGCGTGAAAGTTCTTTACATAATATCTAGAAACGTTGCAATTTAAAGCTGTTTTCTGTATAACTTCCATAGTTTTATCCTACCCCGTGTTATTATTACCACTCTCTGGTGGTAAACACATGGTGAATATTGGAGTAGCCCTACTTTGCTCATCGTTATTAAGCTTTAGATTTTTTTTCTCCTCATAGTATTGTTATAATTGGACGTAGACAGTTTCTATCACATTTATTATTTTTAGTAATTACACTTGCATGCAACCGTCAGTGATTTCAATCTATTCTCAATTTATGTACATATGGTACTCACCTACTTTGCTCTAAAACTTTTCATTTTAAGACAATTTTCTTTGCCTAGTTATCTTTACTTGTACCTCATCGAAGTTTAACATATTTTCATTATAGAATAACTCATTTCAATGCCTTCTGACGCAAAAAAACGTGAACAGCAACGCAAAAAAGAGGCTGCAAAGGCTCGTCAGACTGGCAAGAAAACTGATAAGCCCAAAAACGAAGAGCCTAACAAGCAAAATGGCTCAGGTGATGAAGTAAATGGACAAGAAAATGGAAGTACCGAGCTCAGTACGGAAGGTATATAAGGAATACATTTTTTAATTTATTTATAGAATGAAACTAGAATCCAGTTTTCCTGACAAACATGTTTTCGTAAAATTTTATCATTGCAAATCTCATCAGATCACAAATATAATAATAATAAACAAAATCTCCAGTTTTCCCTATTAATGCAGAGAATTAAAAGTGTATATGGTTACGTTTATTTCAGAGGCACTGTGTGCCAAACTTGAGGCGGATGCAAGGCTTAATGCCGAGGCACGTGCCTGCACTGGGTCTCTGGCAGTCCATCCGAAGTCCAGAGATGTCAAAATTGCCAATTTTTCAATCACCTTCCACGGAAGTGAAATGTTGCAGGACACCACGCTCGAGCTTAACTGTGGAAGACGTTATGGCCTCATTGGATTGAACGGGAGTGGAAAGTCTACTCTTTTGGCTGTCCTTGGGAATAGGTAAGAACATAATCAAAATAGTATGTGGATGAGTAAGAAGTGCAGTCATTCAAAGAGAAACCCTGTCAGAAGCCAGATCATTTTTTAATGATGCCTTTGCTAAGTGGATGCTCTAGATAAAAACATTTGTGAATTATTTTTCGTTGAATTAATTTGTTTGTTTGAGGTTTATTTAGCATTAATGCTACAATGTCCATAATATCCATATTACACAGTACATCACAAAATATATTATGTCTTCAAGACTACATATTTTTATACAAAATTTTTGTTTTTCAAGAGATATTTTTTCAATTTCCTTTTGAACATTTTCAAACTGACACACATCTTGATATCATAACTTAACTTATTAAATTTGTATAATCTGTTTTGAAATACTGACTACTGCAGTTTTGTACATGAAAGTCTATACGTCCTCTAGTAGAATAATTGTGGCAGTCATTGTACAATACAATAAAATTTTCTAAGTGATTTATTTTCTTGGATATTTTTGAAATAATATGTTCTTAGTACCCTTCAAATTTTAATTTACTCTCTACGTATATGCCCAAATATTTAAATGATTCAATTGACACAATTTTTTCATGATTAATTGTAAGATTTATCGTATTTTGGTCCAAAGATTTTCCTATTAGCATATATTTTGTTTTGTTTGTGTTTAGTTTACGTTTATTTACATTTAACCAATTTATTATGTTCTTGATATCATTATTTAACAGCTCTATTGCAGTTTCAATGTCTTTATTTGATATATATATATATATATATAAATGTATCATCAACAAATAGTTGAATTTTGCAGTTGTAAAATATCAGGAATATCGTTAATATATAAAATAAATAATAAAGGACCTAATATGCTACCCTGTGGCACACCTCCGAAATGTTTTTAATGTTTGATAATGTATTGACAATTTTAGTCCTTTGACTTCTATGGATTAAATAATTTTGTAATAAGTTCAGTACTGAACCTTGAAATCCATAGCAATGCAATTTCGTTAACAATTTCTCCCTGTCAATAGTCTCAAATGCTCTCTTGAAATCCAAGAACAATGTTACTGTAAACTTTTTTCATCCATATTTTGCCTCCATTCTTCTACTACCATTTGAATTGCTGTTTCAGTAGAATAAATACTTTTTTCTGAATCCTGCTTGAAATTTTGTCAATATCTTATTTTCTTCAGTATATTAAATGACTTGTTTATATATGATTCCTTCTAAGAGCTTCTCGACATCTGGCAGTACATTAATTGATGGGTGCATACTTTACAAAATAATTCACTTTCAGGGAAGTTCCAATTCCTGAACACATAGACATATTCCATTTAACTCGGGAGATGCCAGCGTCCGATAAAACGGCCTTAGAGTGTGTCATGGAGGTGGATGAAGAGCGTGTTCGTCTCGAAAAGCTGGCTGAAGAACTTGTAGCATGCGAAGATGACGAATCTCAGGTTCGAATTGTAGAATATAATATATAGAATTGTGTTTAAGCAAAAATATGCTATATGCAAACTAAATGACAAATCAAAACTTATATCAAGAGAAGGCTTAAAAAAAGGGGAGTCATGTCAAAAATTTGAGAAACAATTCATGCGTTCTTGACCACTCTGTATAAACTATCAAAAAACCGAAAAAATGAGAAGATATGGGACTATAAAATTTTTCTGACAAAAAATTCAGGATTCTAGCTATAAGAGTTGCAAATGTGTGAATGTTCAAAATTGAGTACTTTTTTATGAGTTTGTTTAGTTTCTCAACAACTTGAAAATATATTTATTTATTTAAACTCTTACAAACACATTTGAATGTAGTTAGATGTAGGAGTGGTTACTGGCTAGTAGAGAAACAGAATACACAAAAACTTGTAACTAAAAAATAATGACAAAGAAAAACTATATCTAATTCTATAGTATGTTGTATAAAATTGCTTTGTAGGGCTTTCCATCGAAAAAGATGTATGTACTGTAATAACGGAATTATCGACCAAAACAACACTAAAAACTTATCCTGCATTTTGTACTAACTGTCAAGTTTTGATTCTGTTCGAGACTTTTGAAATTGTATTGGAAGAATATCAAACAACAAACTCTTGTTACCCCATTGTTTTTTGTACTGTAAGTCTTCTTGATGCATATTGATACTCTATATGGAAATAATAACGGACGCGTGAAAGGTACAAGAGTCAATCTATTGGCGAAATTTTTTATGCAGGAACAACTGATGGACATCTACGAACGCCTCGACGACATGTCCGCCGACACCGCTGAAGCGAGGGCGGCCAACATTCTGCACGGTCTCGGGTTCACGCGCGAGATGCAAAACAAGAAGACCAAGGACTTCAGCGGAGGATGGCGCATGCGGATTGCCTTGGCCAGGGCGCTGTACGTCAAACCGCATTTGTTGCTGTTGGACGAACCGACCAACCATCTCGATTTGGATGCTTGTGTGTGGTTAGAGGAGGAACTTAAAAAGTGAGTGTTCGAAGTGACCATATTAGCGAGAAATTTTCATTCGATTCGATTTCGCAAAATTATATTCAGCATTACCGATGAACATATAGAAATTGTGTTCTTCAGGTTAATCAGTGCTGCCAGGCAGTTTGAAATTAGTTATGGATATTTAATACTGATTTACTGTAATCCATATTTTTTTTCAGTTATAAGAGGATCCTCGTTTTGATCTCGCATTCCCAGGATTTCCTGAACGGTGTCTGCACGAACATCGTTCATATAAACAAAAAACGCCTGAAATACTACACCGGTAACTACGACGCTTTCATCAAAACTAGGATGGAGCTTTTGGAAAATCAGATGAAACAGTATAATTGGGAACAAGACCAAATCGCCCACATGAAGGTATGTTGTATTAAAACAAATTAAAGGGTTCTTCAAGGATCAGTACTGGGTCCGATTCTATTCTCAGTGTATATGAACGATTATAATATAAATTATAAATTTAAATATAAATGGCAAATTCATAGTCTTTGCTGATGATTGTCAAGAAATAGATAGGAATACAATTCAAACAAAAATTGATAGTGATATACAAGGAATAAAAAAATGATATGATAATAATTACCTATCTTTTATGAGAAATTTATGAGAATTTTTGGGACTATTAATTACAAATTGAATTTTACCAATAATGTAGAGCAATTGATTACTCAATTTGCAAATGTTTCCTATATTATAAGAACAATTATATTATACAGATGATGCTTCAGATGCTATCAAAACAATTCGTAGAGATTCTGCAGTGAATCAAAAAAGATTATAATAAATATACCATATTATAACCTTGTCCAGTTGGAAAGTTCACTTTTTGATTTAAGAAAAAAAATACAACTTACTATCGACATAATCGTAAGTTGTAGTTGTAGCTGTTGTTGATGTTTCTCTTTTGGGTTTGTTGGTCCCCAATATCTGCAATTTTGCTTGTTCACATAATCGTCTAAGTGAAAATGGGCCTCGTCTATGAAAACGAACGTTCTCGAGTCTGCGCTGCATAGGAAAAAGATTCAACATCCGTTCAGCACAAAATTTCCGTACTAAATGATTTTTTTAACGTTGAATACTGATCTTTTAAAACCGGTGATGTAAATTCATTAACAATGTTTCCCTATCTACAGGGTGGAAACGTTATGATAGTCACCCAGTTTCTTCTTACTCTAGGTCCTCGAAGTTGTCCATTTATTATTTCAGCCGCATTAACAATTTTTTCGCGAAGTTGTGCTTCAGTTGTTATTGGACCAGCCCCATAAACCATCCCTTTAAGTTCTCCCCAAAACCAGAAATCCATCGGATTGAGGTCAGGAGATCTTGCTGGCCATTTTCGAGTATCAGGAGCATTTCGACCGATCCAGCGATTTGGATAACGTTCATTCAAATACTGAATGACGCCTCTAAAAATTTGTGGTGGTGCCCCGTCATGAAGAAACCACAAATTATATCTCCGTCCTACGCGGCGGCCTAATTACCGACTGCTGATATCTGCATTGATTTCCACGATACTTAAAATCTGTCCCTCCTGCTCTACAGTAACCTGACTTTCACGAGTACAAACAAAAACAAAACAACACGCCCGATGCTCTGCACGACAAAACGCTAAAGTAATTTATCTATGCAAAACTGACCACTGTTACCGTTTGCGATCGATTGCCGGATCGATAAGACTGATGAAAGACCGACGCGCTGTTGTCATGTGTGTTTTAAATATTTAAGTTAATGAAACTTACTGATTACAAATTTTGGCTTAACTTAGAAAAACTTAATGCCATTTATTTGTTAATTACCCAATTTAAAAACGTTTTAGATTAGATTATAAAAATTAGTAAGATTGTGGTCGATATAAAGCACTTAAACTTGTAAACTATAAAGCCATTTAGACAAAAATCCATTGACTTTTGGACCATAGGTCATATGAACTTTTTGACTGGTTTTGACCTCCACCCCTATTACCCATTTCAATCATTTGAAGTCTAAATCCAGCTTTATGCTTTGGCAAAGTTTTGTTTTCCCCAATAAATGCCATAAAGGACATTTATCTATCTGATGCCGTATATGCATTATTCAAGCATCCGAAATGCGACGCTCGCCAACATTTCCGAATGCTGACACGTAACGAAAGTGATATTTTTCAGAACTACATCGCGAGGTTTGGTCACGGTTCCGCAAAACTAGCCCGTCAAGCCCAATCCAAGGAAAAAACGCTCGCGAAAATGGTAGCTCAAGGACTAACCGAAAAAGTGACCAGTGATAAACTCGTGACATTCTACTTCCCAAGTTGCGGTACCATACCACCTCCTGTAATCATGGTGCAAAATGTCAGCTTTAGGTACAGCGAGAACACGCCGTTGATCTACAAGAATTTGGAGTTCGGTATCGATTTAGATACTAGGTTAGCCTTGGTGGGGCCCAACGGCGCCGGAAAGAGTACCCTGTTGAAACTGCTGTATGGAGAGGTGAGAAAACGATGTTTTTATGTTTCAGCACTACAACACTATGCGGAAAAGTCCGATGATACTATTTGTAAAGTCTTTTTATAGTGGATAATGCACGAAACATACTCCTCTGTTAGTTCCTTATTCAGCTTATTCTCGAATAAATTGGCAGTTGTTGCACTCAAAGTTTCTTCACTAAGAGAGTTCCACGAATGTACCAAACGGCATGAAATGAAATTTCTTATTGACTTGATGTTCTCTCATTTCTATTTTTTTGTTTGTTTGTTTAAGATTTATTTAGCATGATTGCTACAATTACATTCTTCTAAAAAACTGAACAATTATACAACATACAGACATTCAGAAAAAAAACCAAATTTGCATCTCTAAGAATTTTCATTGTCCATGAAATATTCCTTTAAGTTGAATGAAGCATAATAAGTAAATGATAAAAATTTCAAAATGATTGCACTGCTTTAAAGCCCTTTGTCCTTTAATAATGTGTGGATGCACCCTGATGTGCTACGCATTCTCCAACGCGCCTAGGCTCTGATCAAGTGGTCAATGTCCTCCTGTTTTATCTCATTCCAGGCAACCACCAACTCCTCTCGAAGTGCTTCTAGAGTCTGAGGAGGACGTTGCAAATTGAGCAATCTCCTACCCATCATATCCCACACGTGCTCAATTGGGGATAAGTCGGGAGATCTTGGTGGCCATGGTAACAATGTGACATCATTATGTTGAAAGAAGTCTATTGTGACTCTTGCAACATGTGGTTGGGCATTATCTTGTTGGAAAGTTGGATCTGCCAGGGTGTCAAGATAGGGTAAAAGATGGGGTTCTAGATCTTCGTGGATATAACGCTGCGCGTTCATGTTACCTCTGATGAAGATTAAAGGTGACCTGGAACCATAAGCTATAGCACCCCAAACCATAACTCCAACAGTGTGATGAACATGTCTTTAAACAAAAAACTGGATTCCTCCTTTCACCACGTCGCCTTCTAACCCTGGCACGACCATCGTGAATGCCTAAACAAAATCGAGACTCGTCACTAAAGACAATACTGTTCCATTCCTGATCCCAGAGTGACCGTTGTCTGCACTACTCAAGGCGATTATGTCGGTGTTCTCGAGTTAAAGGGAGGACCCAGTGTGGCCGGTATGAAAACAAGCCAAAACTTCTCATTCGTCGGTAAACACTTCGAATGCCAATAGGTCTTCCGTGTTCTGCAAACCATTCATTTGCAATGGACCTGGTAGTGGAGAAACGGTCACTTAAGGCCAATAATCTTAGGCGGCGATCTTCACGGTCTGTTGTTCTACGGCGGCGTCCAGTGCCCCTTGCTCTTTGTGTACGGCCTTCTCGAAGCCCTGCCTGACAACACCTAACCACAGTGTCTACACTTCTTTGCACTCTAACTGCAATTGCCCGAAAAGAAAGTCCAGCTTCCCGAAGTCCCACTATACGGCCCCTATCAAACTCACTAAGTTGACGAAATCGTACAGGTCTCCGTACTCTAGGCATCGTAACCGATCGTAAAGGATGTCAAGAACCAAAATCCGCCAACGTTGATTCTTTACTGCGGCTGAAATATTAATTTTTAGAGCGTTAGTGAAAAGGCTGAAAATTTTTTCACTTGTTATTTACAGTAAGATAAATACATTCACCAACTTTTATTAAAATAAAACCATTTAAACTGGGTGTTCGGATTTATATGTCACTTAGTATAGTAGTGGACCTACATAGTTTACTACCTTTTGATATATCAACAGAAATATTTTTTGATCATGATAATGCAGATCCAATTTTGGTTTTTTGACTTCTGTCAATTAAATAGGTTTGTAGAATTTTTAATACAGATCCTTTAAATCCGTAGTGATGCAATTTTGTAAGTAATTTATCCCTGTCAATAGTTTCAAATTATATGCAAATACTTGCACTTTTAAAAAATAAGACAGAAGTTGTGAATTTGATGAAAGAACTGTGAAAAAATTGACTTATGTCAAGTGCACTTTGATCCTCATTACAGACTATCAGAATAAGGTGATAAACAAATACTTAACTGGCACGATTTACCTAGTCTGAATTTGTTGCTTCCAATTCCCATTTCTTTCATTTGCCGCATCTTTCCAGTTAACTCCGACCGAAGGTATGATTAGGAAAAACTCTCACTTGAGGATCGGCCGTTATCATCAGCATTTACACGAACTCCTGGACTTGGACCTGTCCCCTTTGGAGTACATGATGAAAAAGTTCCCCGATGTCAAGGAGAAGGAAGAAATGAGGAAGATCATCGGAAGATACGGTCTGACTGGGAGACAACAGGTAAGTTTCTCAATCCTCTTATTCACATACTTTTGCGACTTTAAAGTCGAGATCTTTTGTTTTTTGAATATTAAATAACCTCGTACGTCGCTCTTTTCCGTCAATCTGTCTGTCTAGTAATCATTGATATTTCTATAACTTAAAGTACCGCTTGGATTCTGGTGAAATTTTACACTAAGTTGTACCATGCAAAAATAGTGGAATTTGAAAATTGTTCAGTGACGATGGAGTTCTGGTAGAAAAACGAAAAATTTATGAATGCCCCTTAACAGTTAGTGTTTATGAATTTTGAAGCGTGGTCGTCTAAATTCTAAACTTCACTTCTCGACGATTTTTACCCTTTGTTACGAACAGTTTCTTTAAACTCATCATAGCAGCCGCGGTATTTAGGCTTCCGCCTGCGCGGCTGCTTCGCTGTCTTTTGCGAGCGTTTAAAATAATAATTTTGCTAAGCCCTATCGAATGTTAAACCTTTTTTAAAAATACATTTTTTCAGGTATGTCCTATTAGACAGTTGTCCGACGGTCAAAGGTGCAGAGTGGTGTTCGCCTGGCTAGCCTGGCAGTGTCCACACTTGCTGCTCCTCGACGAACCTACGAATCACTTGGATATGGAAACGATTGACGCCTTAGCGGATGCTATCAACGATTTCGAGGGAGGCATGGTGCTAGTCAGTCACGACTTTAGGCTTATCAGTCAGGTAATATTTCTTAAAATACAGCAGACGCTCGATAATGTAAACTAATTTAATCCAAGTGTGGTTCACATTATCGAAATGTTTACATTAGCGAACGTGATTTATATAATATTTGATTTATTAAAAGAAACGTTTAGTACATACTATTTATAACAAAATAAACAAATATTCTAACAGCGGTAAGTATTTTTTTAATTAGAAGAAAAATAACAATTTTTGTCTGCGTAAATTTGCGCTTAGCATTGTCTTCCAATGCCTGCGCCCGTAATTTACGAAGAACTAAAATATCCGTGTATGAAACTTCTTTTCTTTCAGCCCAATCTAAAGCTTGGTTAAAAACTTGTATAGCTTGCGCGTCAGTCACTACACTTCTGACTTCAATGGGATCGTTCTCATCATCCTCACTGTCCATATCCTCCTCCTTATCAGCATCATTCGTCTGCTTATCTTCGTTCCATAAATTAATATCAGCAGGAGTACAAACAATGTTGGGATTCACTGTTTTCAATAAATCAACAACATCCAATGACACACTAATAACATTATCATTATTGGATCGCAAACGTTCTCTAATTACGCTTAACGGGACATCGTCTTCTTCATCATCTTCATTATTGGTACAAAAGAGATTGTTCCAACATTTTTGAATAGTTTGCTGGTTAAGTTCATTCCAGGCCATATGTAAATTTAAAACAGCTTCTCGTAATGTTACTTTTTTTAAAGCCTCAGATAAGTTTTCAGGATTCTTTGATAAGACAGACGAAAGTAGAAACTTCCTATAGTATAGTTTGGTGAGTCTTATTATATTCTGGTCCATCGGTTGAATTAACGGTGTTACGTTGGGCGGCATGTACATGACGAAAATTTACCCATCCCTGCTCCTCAGTTGTTGCTCGGGAGGATGACTTGGTGCATTATCCAATAGTAACAACGCTTTTATTGGAAGCTTCTGTTGTTTTAGGAAACCTTTTACCTACAAATTGAAAACACATCTTCAAATTATGAATAGAGCATTTGTGATAATTGATTGTCATACCTGAGGGACAAAGCACCTGTGGAACCATTTCAGGAATATACTGCTAGTCATCCAAGCGGTTTTTGAACAAACTTAATCAACAGGGATATTAACATTTTTAAATGAGCGCGGATTTTTTGCTTTCCTAATTACCAGTGGCTTTATTTTGTGTGAACCATTAGCATTAGTGCAGGCTAGAAACGTTATCCGTTGTTTCTCCGGCTTTCTTCCCGGGGCAGATTTTTCAAATGATGCAGCATGGGTTTTCTCTGGTAACATTTTCAAATAAAGGCCACTTTCGTCTGCGTTGTAAATTTGTTCCATTCTTAAATCTAGCTCGGTAATTGTTTTCATCAATTTTTCTTTGAATCTTTTAAACTTTTTCTTTTTCCCGGACCTCCAAATGTATTGCACGTTCTTTGTAAAATTTGAGTTTTCATACGCTTAATTTTACAGATTGTTGCTTTCGATACTCCATTTTTTTTTGCTAAGTGTGTCACTCCCGCACGTAGTGCAACTTCGTCTATGATTTTCACTTTCTCACTCAACTTTAAACACTTTCTTTTATAGGATGTGGATGCCATAGTCGTAAAATATATTAACGCGTGCAATGTATTCACTCAAGTTCAAAAATGAAATACATACGTACGTATAAACGTATCCTAAACGATCATACGACTGACCGAGTTTGTCGTATTTTATCGCAGAGGTGAATCCCCTACACTCTACATCATAAATCGGGGACTCCCCGACGCCCGACATAAATCATCGAGGCTTCAGCATTTTACCGTCGCGCTGTTTCCGTGCGCCGAGAGTCGTTTACGTTATCGAGGGTACACATTGTTTACGTTATCGCGCGTTCCGTTTGATCCTATAGAACGAAGTTTGTGTTTACATAAGCGCAAGTTTTCATTATCCCGTGTTTACGTTATCGAGCGTCTGCTGTATAAAGATGTATGCCTTTACAAGCTGAAATGATACGTTACTTATACGCTTTTGTTTCAGTTGTTTTTGCATTCTTACTAATAAGTAGTCGGCAAAAATTAATTTCGCCAAACAGGCTCGAAAATCGCTGTAAAATAAACTAATCATAAAATAATTTTCGGCGTCTTGTCGAGCAATGCTTTAATTTAGACACTTGGCGGCCTGAAATATGCCCGTTACTATATTACGTTTATAACGGTGAAATTTAGAAAAACGTTACAGTACGCTTTTTTTTTTGTTCAGAACGATCAAAAAAATAATTGGGCGAAAAAACATTTTTCGTTCAGTGCGACGTTGCCAGATTGTGGCAGACGAGTTTAAATGCATCTTGATAATGGAATTTGTAGCATTAGAAGAAAATTCAAGAAAAATGTGCTGAATTATTCCAAACTGATAAATTAACGACTTCCACGATATCTAGTGATCATTTTTGAACAGATTAGAAATGAAAAAGTTTTCCGTTTTTTTTTTTTTGATGAAACAAAGTAGCCGCTAGGTAATCCGGGCAAAAAGGCGTGCAGTGACTTTCCTCTAAGTTGGCCGTTTTCGAGTCCTAGGCGATTTAATGCCTGAGAAACCCTAAAAATGGATATATTCAAAGCTTAAAGACTCAAAAATAATTTTTCATAAATCAAAGGGTATTTTCACATTAGTTTATTTTAAAGTGATTTTTAAGTTTATTGGGCCAGAATTGGCGAACTTTTGATTTTTGCTATTGTGATTTTTTCCAAAATCTCAAAATTAGTCAAAATCGGGTTGAAATTAAGTTGCTTTGGTGACAATAATGCCTTAATTTATCTTTCAAAGCATTTTATTAAAACATGTTTGCGCGAATTTTGACTGAGGTCGATCATTTAATTTCCATTTCGATTCTAAAACCTGGTATTTTCATTATACTTAATTTTTTTCAGAAAATGAAATAATAATCCTCCATCTCGTTTTTAAAATATATAGTGCTCGAAAGATGAATCTCTGGTTTTCGGCGATTTAATTTTATTTCATTTTTTGGAAAAAAAATTATATAAACCTTTAAAGATCTGCTCATATCAAGACATGAGCAGCATTAGAACGTTACTAGAAAAAATGGAATTTAATTTTCTGTCAAGTTTTTGAAATACCCAACAATACTCATAAATCCAGTTTGTCATTTAGTTTTAAAAAATAAAAATTTAAGGGATATCCATATAAAATTTTCTTTTGTCTAAATTTTATGTTAGGACAAGATATCGAAATGCGGTTTTCGCTAGCTTGTTAAGACATTTTTTAGCTATTTTTTCGTTAAAAAACCTACCAATGCATTTAAACATTTTGAGAAAATTAACGATTTCTGTCGGAAAAAACCTCTAACGGCCCCATGTGAAACTAACAGTTTGTAGACCAATAACAGCTCTTTTCAACTAGCCCAAGTTTGTTGAAATCTTCTCAGCTGTCCCGAAGATACAGGGTGTTTTTTACGGAAATATTTGAACACCACCCACCACTTTATTTTTAGAGATACAGCAAAAAATGTCAAACCAAAAAGCTTCAGATTATCGTCGAATTTTAAGATCAGGTATTTTTTTGTTAGATCAATATAGCGGAATTCACAGAAACATTATTTTTTTTTCAATTCAAGATTGCAGTCACGCCCCCTAGCGGTCATTTCAGAAAATTGAAAATATTTTCCAGGTTTTTTCTTGGCCGGTTTAGTAAGAACTTTTTTCCGAAAGCCTCTACGATGACGATACAGTACCTCGCATTTTTAATTGGGTAATTTACAATAAACGTAAAAGAAAACATAACACGTGACTTTCACGTAGTAAATTAAAGTCGTTTTGGATAACATGCTTTATAACCCAATGGACATTTTTAAACTGCCATGTAAACTCCGTTAAAACCAAGTTGAAGGGCTACTTTTTATAATTTTTTTCAGGTTGCCGAGGAGATTTGGGTGTGCGAGAAAGGAACCGTCACCAAGTGGCAGGGCGGTATTCTCTCGTACAAGGAACACCTGAAATCGAAAATATTGAAGGACGCAGCTAAACGAGAAAAGAAGTAATTTCGACAGCATCACGAGCGTAGAATTAAAAGCAATGCAATCGGTCCAACAGAACTACGTTTTGTATTAACTTATTATTTTTTGCTTTAATTGAGTTGATCATGTTTTATTGCGTAAGCGTTAATTTTTGGGTATCTTTATAGAAATGCACGAAATTTTTAGTATCTTTGCCCAATAGGGTACTGAAAATAAATCGGATATATACACAACATTTTTTATTGTATTTTTTACCATTTCTTTTGGTGTAACGCTTATTTTAAGTATTATGCTGTAGAAATTGATTCGAGAATTTATATTACCGAAAAACTAGAGGTGTAATTTTAGAGATGTCAATGATATACCCTATTGACTTTTTACCATGGTATTGATTGAATCTTGTTGATATTTGTGATAAAACATAAGTATGAAGAAACGTATAGAAAATATTTTATTCTCGTCATCCTGAAATGTGTAAGTGAGCTGAAATTATATACACAATAATAATTTTTCTCAATCTTTTGTAGATGTTTTATTTCTTCACAGCAGCGTAGTTTTGCTTAAATTCAAGGCGTTCAGTTTTCCTATCGCTTCTTGGGACACTGATGCTTCTCTCAGAAACTGGAACAAAAAACATTGATCGATATCCAATCCTATATGCGTTTAAAAAGAAATCATGTCCAATCTTGGGCCTAAAGCTACGTGGTACTTCTATGTCCGCGGAATATTGGGACACCCTGCGTGCACATATTTAACTGCAGGCATCCAAAGAACAGTTGACACTCATCCAGGCAACTTTTTGTAAAAGTGTGTCAGCTTTAAAAAGCGGGAGTAGCAAACTTTCTTCGAGGGCATGAATCCTAAAAATCGCCAATGCCGAACAAACTAAATATGCAAATTTTAAGGACTATCTTATCAAGAGGGGTCCACTCTACATTATAGTAGCGATCATAGTACAGGCCCAAAGCTCTCGAACTTCAATTAAAACAGTACTAGATTCACAGAAAGAAACGATGAAGAGTAAAAAATAAATACCAGTAAATGTCCATCCATTTCTTCCAGACAGCTGTCTATCCACACCAGACCGCTCTTGTCCCTTTGGCCACACTCGTATTTTGCTAAAAGTGCCAGATGTGTCACTGCCAAAGTCAAAGCTGCCGCCCTAGCTTCCAAGAGTCGCGGGTCTAACGGTGGATACATACTTCTTACCATGTCGTCTACTTTGCTTGAGATTCTTTTGGCACTCTGAAAACCGAGCATTCCAATTAGTTATTCCCACAAAAATATATATTGTTCAAAGTGATATACGGACGCTAAAACCGCGAAGTGTTTTTTTTTAGGTGATGCAGGGTGTCCAGCGGGAAAGCTCACTTTTTGATTTAAGAAAAAAAAAATACAAGCTTGATGAAAAGAAGATATTTATTACAATCAACATATTCGTAAATTCGGCGAGTTTTATTTCTTAAATTGAGTCATTTATTTTAACAGTGACTAGATCTGATCAAAAGAAGTGTTTTTTTCCTTTACCATTTTTCTGGTAAAATTAAAGTAACAAAGTTATAGCCCTTTGGAAGTTTGAGTACCGCCCTGTCTCAATAATAATATTATGTGCTCGTGTTTGGCAACAACGGATATAATCCGCCTTATCGGTTCATCGCATCGGAAACAAAAAAGCGAAAGAATTTGGAACGATGTTTTTACAATTATTTTATTCAGTTGTATACAGTCAGTGTCAGTCGGTAACGCGTGAGTGAATAGTGGTGTCTGTTCCGTGGCTCAAACGAAATAAAAAATGGCACATGTTTATGCGGATCGGATTGTAGAGGTGCATAAGGGCCCGCTTAAGCGGCCTATGCACTGGCTCCTTATGGTGACCGGAATGCCTCTAATTTCAAGATTCATTCAATCACTTTCCAGTAAAGCATGGACTGACTGGATTTTATAAGGATTTTTTTTCTTCATTATGCCATGCAGTGTGGACCTAGGGATTCCCAAAGCAGCCGAATGCTTCCGTACAGAACGTCGAGGATTTGCAATGACCGAATCACCTGCTCGACGCATATTGTAATACAGTAGGTGTGGTGCCAGGAATGGGTTGACTAAGAGTAGAGTGTTTGGATATTTCAAAATAATTTCTTGGGACACAAACATTCACACTTTCTCGTGTATAATATTACTAGTGTGGTGGAGCTCACCACCATAACCCATGACCATGACCCCCGCGTTATGTTCTCAGCTTACGATCCTTACAAAATGCTTAATTTGATGCAAACTAAAAACAACACATGCAAAGACGTTTGCTCAGAGAAATGGACTTAACGTCCAATCACTCCAAAATTGATATGACTGCTCTATTTACAGCCACTTTGGATGGTCCTGTAGCAACAGAGAATCTAAAGAATGGAGTGATTGACATCAAGCCATGTGGAGGGAGAGTAAATATTACCCTTTACAGCCTGAAATTACGGTACTTTTTTCAACATGCGACGAAGACATTTTACCTCGACTATTTGACTGAAATTCCCAGATAGCGGAGTAGAGTTCATCGCTAGTGTAGTTAATCGTTCGGTGAGATATCTGCATGTCTTCAGAATAGCTAAACAATGGGGGATCAATCCTGTAGCATCATCGATCCATTGCTCATCAGTCAGAATTTCTTCGAAATTCACTCTAACAGCACCCAGTTCCATTTCTGGTTTTTCAGGACCATCGGGTTCAATGAGCTGCTTATCTGGCCTAAATGTACAAGATAACCATATCAAAATATACGTCGAGGGCAAAATACTATATTAATTTCTTAAATTATGCTACTTAATTGAGTTAAATTTTTATAACTTGAGAGCTCGGCAAACACAAGAGTGGCTGCCACATGCGCCGTATTTCTTAGAGCCCATGTTTGAAAAAATCGATTCTCCTCACCAGTTGAGCAGCCAGGGATGCCCTGTATAAATAGATGGATGCTATGCTAGTGTCTTACCTTGTAGCTTCATGGTGAGAGTCAAAAATCGATCGCTTTACATAATACTTTTGTCTTTTGCATATGACAATGAGAATAACGAAGGCACTGATGAATATCGCCGACAGCACTCCAAATGCAACAGCTGCCACCATTTCAGCGTACTCTGGTGACATGGTGATCATTTCGCTCCTGATAAAAAGAAATTGATACATGTGATATGTAACTTGAGAAGTACAGGATAATAAATCGAAATAGCTGCTTTAAATTAATGGTGATTTGTGTTTTAATTCAGTGTTAAATCAATACAGTTAATGTTTTTGGACATGAAAAAACTATGAAGAGGCTTGACACAAGTGGTTTTTGTATAGTAAACATTCAAGAAAGTATTTTTTGAATAATATTGAGTATTCATAGATTCTTCAAATCCCAGTGGTTTTATAAAGAAATCAAATAATACATCAGTCTGGAGCAAAAAAATATTAAAGTCATTAATAAAGTAATAAAGAAAAATCACTATACTCAACTGGTCACATAATGATACACACTGTTAACGGAAAATCAAGCAAAATATGTTTAGGTTGATTAAACAATTCTTCACTCATCGACATACAAAGCTACAGGTGTTTTACGATACCTCTGTCGATACCATCGACGATACAATCGATACTTTTAATTTTGTTGGCAACACTGATTTGTGAGATTTCACTCGTTTAATATGCTTTTGGCCACACTGACTTGTGCGATTTCAACTTTTTAATTTAGTTAGGTTGGTAGTGGCTGTGGCTAGCTGCACGACCGTTTCATCTTCGGAGCTCGGATTGACACAAAAGGTTATGTTTAGAAGGGGTCGAAAATCCTACATTACTTATTGAAAATGACTGAAAAAACCGAAGAAATTGTTGAAGTGAAGCAGGAAGTCAAAGAAATACTTCCTGGTTTCGAAAACTTCGAACAGTTTACAAAGGTAATTTACTATAAAAATCTTGGTAAAGATTTCCTAACAAAAAGCACATTTCAGGAAGGCTACAAGGTCCTAATAGGAGCTATAAAACAGTCTGGAAGCCTACCAAGCGGCGGTAACTGGAATTTTTATAACGCACACGATGCCTTCAAAACTATCCTTGCCAATGAAGGAAGCAAGTTGCTTACAAACATCAACACTATCTTATCGAAGAACAACATTGGTGGCAACATAAAAAATAGGGGCTTGGAAGAAAAAACGGAGTTGGTGATCGATGCAAACGACTGTATATTAGGTAAGAATAAAAGATTTTTATCATTTGTATGGCTAAAGTTGCTATGTGAATGAAACAGAATAAAATTGAGTATAAATGCACAAATGCAACATATTTTAGAAAAGGTAGCTGATAACATAGATGAAATGAATGGTATCAAGAAGAAATCCAACGAACCTGTTCTTATCCAAACTGTCAGTGCTCAGTTACCAGTAAATGGGTCTTGGAATCGTGCGAATAATCCAACATTTTCAGTTAGTTCTTCATTGGCCTCACAGGTTGGTGACAAAAAGATTTGTGATATATGCTTTGAATTTTGATGTGGACTATAATTTTATCGGTGTCATTTCTGTCAACCTGTCTTTTATTTTCAGTTAGATTAGTTTTCTAGTACACTTTTAAGTTCAGTATCTCTGTGTGTATATTATATAGTCAACGCCAAACAAAGTGGCGTGCACGTCATCAAGGTGGGTGTGTTGAAAAATTTACATTGTTGCCAAACTTTTTGTAAAATAATAAAATTTATTATTTACATATCTAGGTTTATAAGCAATATTAACCTCAAATGAGAACAAAAATAATAGTATAATATAATTATAGATCTGTACTTGCATAATCATTAAGTATGACAATTATTGATCAGATGACACTATGAAACTACCATATTTAATTGATAGCTTAAAGGTACTGAATAAAAATCCAAATGGGGTCCTCCAAATTTTATGCATGGTATTTATTTTACAGAATTCATACAGAAAAATGCATTCTAAAATTAGGTAAGCTACTGGTGTAAGCTTTTTCTGTACAATAAAGTTAGTCGGAGTTTCTTTCTTCAGCGCTGTCTGAATCTGAATCTTCATCACTCTCAAAGTTGATTATTAAAGGTTCGATGTCTGGTCGATCAAAAATTCGTTCTCTTTCATACCATTTAAAAATTTCTTGCTCAGTATGTCGAACACTATTTTTCCACATGTCTGGGGTAACCGTTTGTAGAGCCTCGTTCCACATATCCAAACAGTCTTTTTCACTGTTACCATCTCTACCAATATGTCTGTTATAGTAACCTTTTGCTATGCCCCAAATTAACTCAATAGGGTTAAATATACAATGGTAAGGAGGCAGACGAAGAACTTTGTGCCCATGTTGTTCCGCCAATTCATCAATCACGTATATTTTAGGTGGTTTGTTTCTAAAAAAGCAGTTATTTTAAGAATAGGAATAAACAAAAGAAATATAAACTGTCGACCAAAATATATATAATTAAGAAGCATTATGTACCGAGCAACAATACTCAATAGCTCTGTTTTAAACATTGTGTTTAAAAATGGTATGTTTTGATTTGTCAACCAGTCTTGGATATTTTTTTTTGTCCATGCATTGTTGGGCACTTTGTTCAATATCATGCTGTAATAAGGGGCGTTATCCAGTATAATCATAGATGGACTCTCCAATTTTTCTAATAACTGATGTTGAAACCATTTCAAAAAATTGTCCTGGTTCATCTCTCCATGGTAATCGCTCAATTTTGTTTTCGAAGAAAATATCGCTTCACTACCCTCAATAAACCCATTTTCATTTCCAGCATGTAATATAATGTATCTAAAATATATTAGTTTTAAATTTTATAGTGCAAATTGTGTAAAAGTACATACCTTTTACCATCTGTTTTAATAGCTTTCACGCTTTTTTGGTTTCCATTTTGCCAAGAGCGACCTATGGTCCCATTTTGAAATATCCAAGTTTCATCGAGGAAGACAAACTGGTATAAGGCCTCAACCTTGGCTTGATTGTATTGCCTTAGAAATTCCACCCTTTTCAAAGCTATACTTGGTAGTTCCATGAGCCCTCGTCGCGGATTGTCCTTAAGCCACTTAAATCCAAGATCTCTAAGCAACCGCCTTAAAGACGTGGCACTACCATCAAATAATGCCCTATCTCTTAATCGAAACCATAAAGTTTGTATCGTAACTTGTTCTTCTGAAACCATGTGTAATATGACATTATAATTTAGTTAACAAATTAATGCAAATTTCTGATAAGTTATTATAATAAGATCTTACTTTTGTGATACATATTATAGATCACTTCTCGAATGGCACTTGTATCCAATGTCGCTGTGTTGGTTACACGTTTAATATAACTCCGCTTTTTCTTGGGCGATTCTAAATTTGCATCACTTTTCACACTCTCGGAAATACGACTAACTGTCCTTAAACTAATTTTTAAAGCAGCAGCAACACGCTACAAAAAATAAAATAAAATTTCACTATTATTAATATACATTACATATAATTATTAGTAACCTACCTCTTGAACAGCATTTAAAGGCAACAAAGGCCCGTTGTTGTCCCTTTCTTGCTCAAAGTAGTGCATTAACGAGGCCACGAGTTCCTTACACCGACTATTTAACTGTTTGGGCATCTTTATATACCAAAATTGCCTTTATCTACTCGTAAAATGAATAATTTTGTTTTGAAACAAACAGTTGTTGATTTACAGTATGCGGGGCCAAAGGATTTATAAAGATTTGAAATGCCACAAATTGATTCAGTGTCAAAATTAATACAAATGTCAGTTCCCAGTTTAAATAAGTTTCAAGGTGACAATGTGTCAACGCTGCGAAATCGGTTTAGTGCGTTTACATGTCGATAAGTGATTGGAGCGTTTGCAAAACATTTTATTTCGCATAATGCGTCTAAATTTATCAGAAAGCAACTTATGTGATATTTTAATAACAATGTTTATATGACTATTAACCATAATAAGAGAGTAATGACCATTTTACAATTTATATATCACATTAATATGAAACTGCAATAGAGCAATTGTTTGTGATAGAAACCTAGGCATTAGGTCGGGGAATTTTTATCGTGATGACGTGCACGCCACTTTGTTTGGCGTTGACTATAGTTATAGTACCCTTGAATCTTTTAAACTGAGTGGTTTACAGTTTTATATACATATTTCTTGATTTGTTTCTTTGAAAGTGTGAACTAAACCATCACTAAACATTTAAGCAAATGTCATTTTATTCTAATTCTTGGTGCTTAAACCTGGAACAACCTTGAAGATATCTTAAATAGTGTTTGTAAACTGCAATGCCTAACTAGCACAAACTAATTATTTTTCAATATATTTTATTCAGTATAGAGTAACAGATTTTTTTAGATTTTAATTGTATATTATTTTTGTTTTAGTCCACTCGTAGACCTACTGCTAATGCCATCAGATTACTGACAGCAAAAAATATTGAAAGACCACAGAAAGCATTTAAAGATAAGATCATCAATAGTAGTAGTTTTCCATGGGAACCAAGGATAAAGGAAAAACCTAATTCCTTGAAACCTTTAGCCATATTGTTAGAGCAGTATGAAGATAGAGAAGAGTAAGTAAAAATGCAACTATTTATATTTTCACAATGTTATTCGTGGTTTATTCGGTAAATTACCTCGTAATTTAAACAAGACAGATTCTATTCAATCCATCATCAGCAAGCAGATTGATGAATGATTTTATAATTTTTTAAGGTATTCTCATCCCTATGAATATGAACTAGACAGATTTGTACCACCTGCAGACCAGTTATTGTCAGAAGAACCTATAACACCTAAACCAATTGAAAGTACACCACTTTATGAAATCAATCAACCGGAACAGGTTGAAGGTCTAGTAGAAACTCTGAGGGGATGCAAAGAGTTCGCTGTGGATCTTGAACACCATTCATATAGATCCTTCATGGGTATCACTTGTCTGATGCAGATTTCTACCAGAGATGCTGATTACATCATTGATACTTTAGCTTTGAGAGATAAGCTGTATATGCTGAATGAAGTTTTTACCAAACCTTCTATTTTAAAGGTATGTGTAATAAAATCTACTTCAAATTTTACATTATATATTATGATATCATCCAGAAGTAACAGAACAGTTCTGTGACTTTCAGGTAAGGTATTTTTGAAATAGGTATGTCAAGGTATGGACTATACTAACTTTGAACAAAGTGACCTTGGATTTGACCTTGTGCCTCACCTTGAAACTCTTCTAAGTCATTTCAAGGTTTGTTTATCTAATGGAGAGACCCCTTTTTGATACAAGCAATTGAAAGAATGGACAAATCTATGTCAGAATATGTAACAAAATCTGGGATCAAGGTCACCTCTAAAGGTCAAATAGGGTTCAAAAAATCTTCAGTACTTTTTCTCAAAAATTTCAAATGAGACATCCTGTATCGTTGAATAGTATTTTTTGGTGAACTTTTTGTTTGGTATAAGGTTTATACTTTTTTTTCCAAACTCCTTTGAAAATACATATACAGGGTATTCCATTTGAAATCTATGAGAAATGGCAGATTTTGCTTTTGAGATATCCTGTATAAATAGAAAGATGTTTTACTAAATATACTAAGTGACATATAAATCCGAACACCCAGTTTAAATGGTTTTATTTTAATAAAAGTTGGTGAATGTATTTATCTTACTGTAAATAACAAGTGAAAAAATGTTCAGCCTTATCAGTTGGACATTCCGGTTTTTATACTGCTTTTTTTTAATTCACTAACGCTCTAAAAATGAATATTTCAGCCGCAGTAAAGAATCAACGTTGGCGGATTTTGGTTCTTGACATCCTTTACGATCGGTTACGATGCCTAGAGTACGGAGACCTGTACGATTTCGTCAACTTAGTGATTTTGATAGGGGCCGTATAGTGGGACTTCGGGAAGCTGGACTTTCTTTTCGGGCAATTGCAGTTAGAGTGCAAAGAAGTGTAGTTACACTGTGGTTAGGTGTTGTCAGGCATGGCTTCGAGAAGGCCGTACGCAAAGAGCAAGGGGCACTGGACGCCGCCGTAGAACAACAGACCGTGAAGATCGCCGCCTAAGATTATTGGCCTTAAGGGACCGTTTCTCCTCTACCAGGTCCATTGCAAATGAATGGTTTGCAGAACACGGAAGACCTATTGGCATGCGAAGTGTTTACCGACGAATGAGAAGTTTTGGCTTGTTTTCATACCGGCCACACTGGGTCCTCGCTTTAACTCGAGAACACCGACGTAATCGCCTTGAGTGGTGCAGACAACGGTCACTCTGGGATCAGGAATGGAACAGTCTGTAGTGACGAGTCTCGATTTTGTTTAGGCATGCACGATGGTCGTGCCAGGGTTAGAAGGCGACGTGGTGAAAGGAGGAATCCACAGTTTTTTGTTGAAAGACATGTTCATCACACTGTTGGAGTTATGGTTTGGTGTGCTATAGCTTATGGTTCCAGGTCACCTTTAATCTTCATCAGATGTAACATGAACGCGCAGCGTTATATCCACGAAGTTCTAGAACCCCATCTTTTACCCTATCTTGACACCCTGGCAGATCCAACTTTCCATCAAGATAATGCCCGACCACATGTTGCAAGAGTCACAATAGACTTCTTTCAACATAATGATGTCACATTGTTACCATGACCACCAAGATCTCCCGACTTATCCCCAATTGAGCACGTGTGGGATATGATGGGTAGGAGATTGCTCAATTTGCAACGTCCTCCTCAGACTCTAGAAGCACTTCGAGAGGAGTTGGTGGTTGCCTGGAATGAGATACCACAGGAGGACATTGACCACCTAATCAGAAGCATGCCTAGGCGCGTTGGAGAATGCGTAGCACATCAGGGTGCATCTACACATTATTAAAGGTCAAAGGGCTTTAAAGCAGTGCAATCATTTTGAAATTTTTATCATTTACTTATTATGCTTCATTAAGAACTTATACAAAATTTTATTAAAATAAAACCATTTAAACTGGGTGTTCGGATGTATATGTCACTTAGTATATCTAAACAGTTGACAATCGAAACCAAATGTTATATGGTATCAATCTTTTTGTTTTTAAAAGTTTTATCCGAATATTCAATAAAATAAAAGGTATTCTGTCTGAAAAATAACATGTCCAGTTTGCTCATAAAACTGCTTTCCATTTTTGTTGGGACACCTTGTAAGAGGAATGAGGTCATCCACACATCTAGGATACCCACTGCACAATTTTACCTTCTTGATTTCTTGGAAATGTTACCACGTTGCTCACTCAACGTTCTCCTTCAGATTTTCCACGGTGCTGAATGTGACATTCAGTGGCTCCAAAGAGATTTGTCCATATACGTAATCAACATGTTTGACACGTACCAAGCGTCCAGGATCTTGGGCTATTCCGGAAGGTCGCTCGCGTATCTGATCGAGCGATTTTGTAACTTCGCTCCGAACAAGCAGTTTCAGTTAGCTGATTGGAGGATCAGGCCACTTCCAGAGGAATTGAAGCAGTACGCAAGGGGAGATACGCACTATCTCATTTACATTTATCAGATGATGAAGAACGATTTGATAAGGAGGTCGCATGGAGACGATAACTTGTTGAAGTCTGTTTTCAATGAAAGTACCGAGACATGCAAGAAGGTGAGTCGTCAGCATGTTTTGAACTGAATTCATTGGTAATTCTTCAGACGTTACTGGCGTTTAGTTTCAATCTAAACAGTTGTCTATAATTTGTTCCACAATATTACAAATACTTAAAAATATTTCGTTACTAAATTTAAACGTTATAGCAGAAATGAAAGTCTAATGGGTTTTTGTGATAACACTGATCAACAGCCAAAAAATATCCTAAATAAAATCAACAAAATATTACTATTTTTAATGTGCTAAAACCGGAATGAAACTTATTTTTTCAATATTAGTTCAAGTTTTAGAGATACGGTAATTATATGTGTTCCTGCTGTGACAGTGTTAATATACTGTAATTCACAAGAATGCACGTGCTACATTTTTATATTCGGCAAGGAAAGATGATGTAATCGGCATGATTGTGTTACGTTATACATACGTGTACATTATATTGTTTTATATTAGCCATTTTTTCCTCAGTTGGCTGACAGCGTTCATGCAAGATGTCTCGAAAGTGTGTAAACAATCCAGATCAGTTTTGTTACGTGTGTGGTGATGTGACTTTTGCGTCTCAGAGACGGTCTATTACTCCACTAATAACAAAGGCATATCAGCTTTATTTCGGTTGTAAACTAGGTGATCAAGACAAACAGTGGGCACCCAGTCTGAGGAGCTGGTTAAATGGCAAAAAACGGTCTATGCGCTTTGCTGTCCCAATGGTTTGGAGAGAGCCTACAAATCATATCAATGATTGTTACTTTTGCATGGTACCTTGTGTTGGACAAGCCACAGGTATTTCCAAGAAAAAAAATCGGTCATTAACTACCCAAACATACCATCTGCGATGAGACCTGTGCCTCACAGTGACGAAAATCCTATTCCAAAACCCCCAGAATCCTACACTTGCGAATCAGAAAACGAATCAGATGATGATTTTATACCGAGCACGTCATGCCACCAACGCACAAAATAACACAGTCAGAATTAAATGATCTTGTAAGAGATTTAGAACTTCCAAAATGTAAGGCAGAGTTACTTGGATCAAGACTGCAGCAGTGGAACTTGTTAGAAGACGATGTTTCGGTATGTGTTTTTCGTAAACGCCACAAAGACTTAGAACCATTTTTCAATATGGAGAATAACTTGGTTTTCTGCAGTAACATTAACGGCTTACAGGCGGCTTTAAATATAAACTATAACCCAGAAGAATGTAGATTGTTTATAGACAGTTCAACATTGAGTTTAAAGGCAGTGTTATTGCATATTGGAAATATTTTACCATCTGTTCCTGTAGGGTATGCAGTTGACATGAAAGAATCATATGACAATATGAAGTACTTATTGAGATGCATAAAATACGATGAGCACCAATGGCATATTTGTGGCGATTTGAAAGTTGTTGCACTTTTACTTGGGCTGCAGCTAGGCTACACAAAGTTTTGCTGTTTTTTGTGTGAATGGGACAGTCGGGCAAAGGCACTTCATTACACCAGACAAAACTGGCCTGTTCGTCAATTCCTAGAGCCAGGTCAAAAAAGTGTACAGCATATGCCATTAGTAGATTCGAAAAAAAATTTATTACCATCACTGCATATCAAGTTGGGCCTAATGAAAAACTTTGTCAAGGCATTAGATAGAGATGGGTCAGCTTTTCAATACCTGCGTCAGAAATTTCCAAGACTAAGTGAGGCAAAGGTTAAAGAAGGTATTTTTGTTGGGCCACAGATTCGAAATATTTTGAAAGATACACAGTTTGAAAACACTTTAACAGGTATTGAAAAAACTGCTTGGAATGATTTCCGTCTGGTGGTCACTAATTTCTTGGGAAATAGAAAAGCTGACAACTATAAAACCCTTCTCAAAAATATGCTGTCATCGTATCAAAAGATGGGCTGTAATATGTCTCTTAAGATACATTTCCTACACTCACACCTGGACTTTTTTCCTGACAATTGCGGAGCCGTAAGTGATGAGTACGGCGAACGTTTTCATCAGGATATTTCAACAATGGAAAAAAGGTACCAGGGAAAGTGGAATCCTTCCATGCTTGCAGACTACTGTTGGACTCTTGGTAGAGATGCTCCAGAAACGATCCATAAAAGACAGCGCATATAGTGATTCTTATAAGTATAAGAATCTTGTTACCTTTTTTAATATATCCTTAAAAATAAAAAGTTCTTTTTCTAAACCGCAACTATTTTTTTTATTTCATTGTCATTTTTGGATTCAGCGCCCCAAAATTAACAAAGCAGTGCACTTTTCCCACAAGATACAATTAAAAAACTAAAATTTGTTGTCCAGTGAATTAGCAAAAAAGCATTTCAATCCACAGTTTTTGTCGTGCTCCACAAACAGTCAGATTTCGTTGCTACTGAGTGTTATTTATGCTTATTCAGCTGAGGGTTGGGAAGAAATTCTGCCTCCGACTTTCACGCTGTTAATACAACAATGAAAATTGTATTGTATAATGTAACGTTTGTTTTCAGCGCTATTTCAAACCCCATTTTAAGGAAGATAGTTACTTGGACTTCTATAGAAAATGTAAGAGACTGTTTGACAACAGACAGTTGTACGCTCTGAAAGAATTGTACAAATGGAGAGATGGAATTGCGAGAGAGGAAGACGAAAGCACAGGGTTAGATATTTCCTAGCATATTTTTGTTTCTAAGAAAAAGTTCACAGTTTTTTCGAGTTATTAAACTTCTTTTTTATAGGTATGTGTTGCCCAACCACATGTTACTCCAAATATCAGAAGCTCTTCCCAGGGAAATGCAGGGTATTCTAGCATGTTGCAATCCTATTCCACCTTTGGTCAGGTCAAATTTATTGGAGCTTCATAAGATTGTACTTAGGGCTAGAGAACAGCCTTTACAAAAGGTATGTAGTCTTTAAATATATTGCTTCAATTTTCACTAGATTTCCAACATAATTATATAATCTGCTTTTTATCAAAAAAGAACAAGACTCTAGGATTACAATTTCTAGTATTATTTTTATATTCTTATACAGACTACACGTCGCTTTTCAGACTATTATGAAGGAAGATACAAGAGCGAGAGGCACCACTAAGAAAATATCAAAGATAAACGTGGACAGTCCTATTCATTGTCCGCATGATCTGACTAAAACTCAAGAATTTCGCGATGATCTGCCTATTCTTTTAGGCGGTAAGTTTAACGAAATAAAAAATCTGTTAGATCAAGAATTGCCTGTTCAGAAACAACATTCAATGTATTCTGTCTTCAACATCCCTGATACGTTGGATAATGAGGTAGGTTCAACTTATTCTGTTATTTCAGTGATTAAAAATATATTTTTGACAGTGAAAATTAATTTGATCTTCGCATGACCTTGATGGCCATAGTCAAGGTCAAGGACATACTTGAAGATACAGTTTTATTTTAGAGATTGCGACATTTATGAAACGTATTTTTCAAGACATTTTGTTCTTTCCCTACCTTCTGGACACTCTCAAATGCCCATGGTCATGGTCAAACTTATATCGGGTTGTCCAAAATGGACGCAGGAAAGTAAACGCATATTAAAACAAGAAAGATTGATATTCAAATCAAGTTGGGTACTTTATTTTGAAGGTTCATTTATACCATTCATGTATGAAAAATAATATCGCTCAAATGTTCACCACGACTGGATTTACAGACGTCCACGCGATGGTCGGAATTTTCAATGACATTTTGCAACATGGTCGGTTCTATGGCATTTATCTCGGCAATGATGTTGTTTTTGAGTTCTTGGAGGGTGGCTGGTTTGTTGACGTAGACTTTGCTTTTCAAATATCCCCATAAAAAGAAGTCCAAGGGAGTCAAATCGCACGATCTTGGTGGCCATTGCACATTTCCTCTGCGCGAAATCGCGCGATCACCGAAGAAGGACTGCAATCGATGGATATTGACGTTGGTTGTGTGGCATGTTGCACCGTCTTGTTGGAAATAAACATCGTCCATATCCATTCCTTCAAGTTGCGTCCTCTATCATCAAGTGATATCGCTCAGAATTGACGGTAACGGCGTCCCCGGCCGCATTTTCGAAAAAGTAAGGTCCGATGATGCCTTTTGACCACAATGCACACCACACAGTCACTTTTTGAGGATGCATCGGCTGCTCTTGATACTCACGGGGATTTTCGTTTGCCCAGATGCGGCAGTTTTGCTTGTTTACCGTCCCATTCAAAGTGAAATGCGCTTCATCGCTGAACATGATTTTTGATGAAAAATTGGCATCAATTTGGCGGTGTTCAAGGAGCCAATCTGAGAATGTTCGGCGCGAAAAATGGTCGGCACGACGCAGCTCTTGCGTCAATTGGATCTTGTAGGCGTGTACATTCAAATCCTTGGGGAGAATGCGGAGCAAACTAGTTCTCGAAATGCCCAATTCTTGGGATCGATGCGTTCTTTATTGTTTCGGATCGTCTCTCACACTCTCTTCACAACAGCAATATTTTCCGGTGTACGAACGCTCCTTGGCCGGCCAGAGCCTGGCAGATTTGCCACAGAACCTGTTGCCTCGAATTTACGCACCAGACGACCGATGTTTGTTTCTTTTGGGCGGTTGTTGCGACCGAAATGTTCACGAAGCGCGCGAAACGTGTTTTTTATTTTTGCACCATTTTTGTAGTGCTCTTGAATAACTTTAATGCGGTCTTCAATCGAATACGACTCCATAGCGATCAATGGTAAACACTCAACTAACAACATGACATGTCGGTGACAGAAAACAAAGATGGCGTCTATGTCAAATTGACGTTTACTTTCCTGCGTCCCTATTGGACAACCCTTTACTTTAACCTAACATTTTCCAATCTTTACATTTCCGGTGTAAAGATATGAGTTTAAGAATACTGCCTGTCCTCCAAATGACCTTGAAAGTCACTGTCAAGATCACGGTCAAGGTCACCAATGGATGAATCTTTTCAAACCTTACAATTTTGTTTTACATCTCTTCTAGAAAACGTATTTTTCGAGATATTTTGATCTATTCATACGTTTCCCGGGTATCAATTCGTAAATGAAAAATTTTTGCATATTGCGGTACAGACATTCACATTTATATATGCAGATAGATATTCCAAAAATGTTTAGATGATATTATAATTATTACTGAAGAAATTACGATGTTTTGAGGCTGATTTTTTATACTGACAATCTTTTTCTTTTAATGATTTCAGTTGAGTTCAGAGACGAAGAAAAAGCTTGACAGTATAAGTTTCTTAGGGCCATTCGATAGATATAAGCTCGTTAAGCCCTATATCCAAGCTGAAGAGCAAAGACTGGCTGAAGAAAAATCAAAAGAAGAAGAGGAAAGAGCAAAAGCCAGAGCTGCGGAAGGAAACAGTCAACAGAAAACATCCGAAGAATCGACTGCACAGACTGACGCGCGTACAGATGAAGAAAGGATAGAATCGGTATGTAATAAAAACATATCCCATTTTCATTTTGAAAAAATTCGGAAATTTTGATCCTTCCAGAATAAAAAACAATTATTTTCTACGCCACTGACTTTTGACTGATTATCCTGGTCAACAAAATTTTAACTTTGTCGTGCCACACGGACTTTTTTGATATTTTTTACTTTAATTGGTGATTGCTAAGAAAACAATAAACAGTTAAAAAAAGGATTTTATTCGATTGAGTAATTTAAAATATTAAGAAAAACACAGATCTCGTAAATCAAAAGTTATTTTTTTTATAAATGACTTAATAATCTAGATTTTCTTGAATATTTTATCTTCTGGTTGATCCCTTTGTACTTGTCCAGCAGTAATCTGTTAACATATTTGGGCTCTATTTGCCCTGGTACCGCTTTTCCATATTAGAAATGTCCTGATGGAACCTCTCACCGTGCTCGTCGCTGACAGCCCCTAAATTGTCAGGAAAAAAATCCAGGTGCGAGTCTAAAAATGGATCTTAAGTGACATGTTGCAACCCAATGCTTGATATGACAATAATAGCTCGCTAACCAACTCTCTGTAGCTGTCACTCTTGTGGTTACCCAAAAAATTTGAAACAACATTTTTAAAAGCCTTCCATGCAGATGTTTCTAAATCGCTTAATTTTTCTTCAAATCTTGAATCTTTTATTAACTCCCTAATTTGAGGGCTAACAAAAATACCCTCTTTTATCTTTACATCACTTTTTTAGGGAATTTTTCTTTTAGATACAAAAATCCACTCCCATTGCGATCCATTGCCTTCACAAAAATTTTTATTAATTCTAATTTGATATGCAATGGTGGTAGAAGCACATTATTTGGCTGTACAAGGGGTAAATACTTTACGTTTTTTTGCCCAGGAACTAACGATGTTTTTTTTATATAGTGATTAGTTCTGTCTCGGCTATCCCATTCACATAAAAAGCAGCAAAACTTTGTATAACCCAGCTGAAGCCCAAGTAATAGTGCAACAACTTTAAGATCACCGCAGATTTTGAAGGAATATGTACTGTAATTTATTTTTTTTATTTCCATTATGCAATAACACTGCTTTTAGACTTGCTTTCGAAGAATCAATGAATAAACGCCACTGAGAGAGATCAAAATCTATGTCCAACATTTTCATAATCTCATTTATGTTATTGCAAAACACCAAATCTCCATCCTGAGAAAAATACGTCATCGTCCTCGTCAACACATTCACCTGAAGTGGACGGTTGTGAATTGTTCTCAACAGACGTAGTTGCAACTGGTATTAGTTCTGGCAATTTTTTACAATGAGAGACTGGTCTTATAGCCGAAGATAAGTTAGGGTAAATAACTGTGGTTTTTTTCTTGTAATTTATACCTTTTATGTCTGTGGGACAAAAATAGCAATCTGAAACGTGATCTCGCTGTTCAGTCCATATCATGGGTACAGCAAACGGCATAGGTCGTGCACCTTTCTTCCAGTCAGTTAAATTTTTCACACACGTTATGCAACAGACATGAGGGGCCCAGGATTTGTCTTGGTGGGCGACAGAAAAACCAAAACATTGGTGATAACACTCCAACACAAGATTCGTAAAATTTCGTCGTTGTTTTTTGAATGTTAGTTCTCCACAGACATAACAAAAAGAGTTAGGATCATTATTACACTTCCTCGACATATTCACAGGGTTGATAACAAAAACAAACAAAACAGCGTTCAAATTCAACAACAAATATTTTTATCAGGATTTACTTGTAAGCGTTTCTGTTAATTTACTGCCGTAGTACTAGTTATGAGTATTACCGTATCACAACAAATATGAGGCTAATAGACATATGACAGCTGTCATGTAATAATGAGGGTAGACTGATAAAACAAAATAAGCTGTCAAAGTTCGTGTGGCAAAACCAGTGTTGACCAGTGTTATTTAATAAGATACTTGATTTTACATTCATTGCCTCTGGGTATTTATTTGAAATGCCCGCGCTTTATCGAAATTCCAGACGATGCCGATCAATACTTCTCGAACGCTCCCGATGTCGGTCGATTCTCGATGATGCCGCAAGCCAGAACGCTCTTGATGCGCGGTGGCGTAACTCTGGTTGCCTAAGTGTCGATATTGCGAGGGCGTCTCGTCGTTACCCGAGGTCACAGTTACGAGGGCGGTACATTATATTTTCTTTTTTAGATACGGCAACACTTTTTGTCGTTGTCCAGGCTTCCAGCGTGGGAAGAAATGGCAGCGCAGAACCACTCACTAGTTCAAATGGGCGGTACTAAAAAAAGAAAACGTGATGATTCATCGCCTGCAGAAGAGGAGGTTGACAATTCAGCTGCCGACTTCTCTATAACGATACCAGATAACAGTTATCAGGTAATTAAAAAAATGGGGATTGTTTTCGTACCTGGGCAACTAGAGCTGCCGGACTTTAACCAAGAGAAAATGTCCTATATTTTTTCCGTGTGATTACAATGTTTATCTTTTATAGAGTAATAGAAAGCGAAAAAGTGGTGACCAGATTGGTGGGGTGGAAAAGCAACGGAAGTTGGGTGGAAATGACGCTGAGAAAAAAAATAGGAAGAAACAGAACAAGGGTCAGAATCATAATAAATCGGTAAACAGAAACAGTCAACACAACAATCGAAATAATCAGGATAGAAACCGGAAAAATAAGGAACAGGTCACAAATTTCGAGGTTAGTAAATCGCATCGAGTTTTGTGACGGAATGAAGAGATTCGGGTTCAAATCTTGCCGGCCCCATTTTCCCTTTCTCTCAAGTTTTTTACTACTCAATTTTATTCTATTGCACTGAAGCCAAATAGTCAAATGCTCATGTTTCTCATTTATTCATTTATATGTAGCAATTACATCGATTTATTTCAATAATTTCAGGTGTCGGTGGAGAATGAAAGACTCAGCGGCAATGTGAATATCCACTACCAAACGTCAACGCAAAATATGCGGAATACACCCAACAAAAAGCAAAAGGGGAAGTTCAGAAATAAAGATAGGAATAACCGTAATTCACCGGCTACGCAAACGCAAAATGTGCAAGAGGACTTCGAGCCTTTTGATTATGCCTCCGTTGACTTCAGGCAGTTTCAAGGAGGCGCATCTAAGGCTGTTAATATTCAAAATGCCAAAAGCAAGTTTGTCAAGGTCAGTCGACGCTTTATATACTCTATTTTTTTGTTTTCTGGTTGAGATTTTTCAGCATATTAGTCCGTACAACTATAATTGCAGTCTAGACGATCGACAGAAAACTATTTGCATTTTTTTTCAATTATTTACGTTAATATAATTCCGCACAGACATATCTCATTAAAGGAAATGTCTGAATTTTCTTAATCAAATACTCAAAAGTTGATTTAAACACCGCGTTTTTCGTGTGCTTGTCACAGCTCATGGTTTGTCATTTTATTCTGTTTGGTTAATTTGCTGTCACATTATAAAAGGTTATATTTTTCATTTGCTGATTTTCTAATGTTGTCTTGGCCAGCGCTGTCAAAAGACCCTGAAACTTGACGTCTGGAGTACCAGTGGTGCTTTGACAGGGTTGCCATGTTGGATGATTTTCCCCCAAATTTGGGAGATTTTTACTTGGGTAATTGTTGGGGGATCTAATGTTCTGGGGGATATAACACACTTTTTGGATAGAAATCATCCCCCCGCTCTTTGAACCAATCCTTCTCTTTTCCATTAACTGTGAGTCGGGAGATTTTTTATGGCAGTTCAAAGAGAATTTGTGCTTGTTCTGGGGAAATTCTGTCCGACTCATCTGGCAACTCTGTGCTTTGACAGATTCGTCCTAATAGTCTGCTCGCTTCGAACACTGAGCCCTCGGTCAGGCGTCAAGTTTAGAAGACGTTTTTTGCTTATTTTGCCTGTTCCCCTGGTATATAGGCTCCATGTTCTCGTGGCCGGTGGCAGTCGCTGTCAAACGGCCATTGTAGTTAGAGTCAGCGACGGTTTCCGTGTCAACCGATACTGTTTTGAGCTGATCTAACCTGATAGGTTGACAATCAATGACAGCGATAAAGGATTACCCTGTTTATGCTTTTTTCAGGGCAAGAAAATGGGCGGCAACAAAAACAACAAATCGTTCACATTTGGAGGTTCGGGTAGAGGTAGAGGTGGTGGCAGAGGAAGAGGTAGAGGTGGTGGCAGAGGAAGAGGACGTTGAACTATGTTTAAAAATGTTTACTTTAATTTGTTATGTTCTAAAGGTGCAAATAAACATCTTAATGCGTTAGTATTATCTGAAAAATCCACATCCGCCTCTAAACACAAGAATTTTTATCAATGTAAAAGTCGGTCAACTGAGGTAATTTGGGTCGCTGAAAAATCGCTCCAAGTTCCTCGAAGCCCTATCTGGTGGAGAAAAATGGAATCTCTGTCAGCGATAAACTGATATCAGATTCGTTCTCTACACACCCGATTTCACCCTCATATAGTATTGAAAAAACTGCAGTTCTGCTGAATATAAATACTGAGCTAGAGCGATTTTGTTCGTATCTTTCAAAGTAGGAAGCAGTTGGTAAGCGCTGGGGGTATCGCGTCTGACGATTGGCCTATTTGCGCGGAGTACCGCAGGGAGCAGTATTTGGTCCTCTGCTATTTCTAATATACATCAATGACCTGCCCTAGAGTATTGATTGCACAGACCCAGAAAATAAAAAAAGTGGTGTGTGCCTGGGGTAGCACTATGTTTTTCCGTTGTACTTTTTTACGCTGAACACGCATCTGAAAATTAGGACTTCGACGACAAATAAGAAAGTAATTTTGTCATTTTTGGAGGTCTTTAAGAGACGCACATCTATCAAAAACAATAACCAACATTTTTAATTGTGATGTCTAAACTTTCATATTTGTCGGTGTTGGGGTAAATTAAATATATTTTACTCATACATAAGCTATATTTGGTAGTGTGTATGGTACATTAGATCAAAGCATTAACAGCGGACTTCAGTATTCCGTATCTGCTATGGCCACACACTCCTCTGAAGTCATCCAAAGTTATATCATCAACTGCAATACCTGCAAGTCCTTTGCTTTTAGCGTATAGCGCCTTATTTGCCGCGCTTTCTGGATCTTCGTAACCTATCCACAAACCTTCCTTTTCTTCCTCGTTCTCGGTTGGCTTGTGGTAAGCATAAACGCCTAAAAATATACGCGCAATTTATTTAAAAAACAACATAGCATGTCAACCCTAACGCACAACTAGATGAGTATGCAAGGCTCACCGTTCACCTCGTTTGTTGCGCAGATATCCTGTTTCACTCAGAAGAGTTGGAGGTAACCTAATTTTCACTTTGGAGACACTTGACACCCACATCACAACAATAAAACACCAAAGCAATACTGAGAGACAATAGAGAACCCTATAGTGAACATCACTACTGAAAAAAGTAGCTAAACCGAACAGGAGGAGGAGGAGGAGGAGCTGTGAATGCCTAGACATTACGCTGCGCCGATGGTTGCCGAGAGACTGAAGCGTGTGAGTGCTGTACAGCGCTGCGGCGATACGGTACGGCCGGGTAGTACAGCCACGCCCCGGTCAACGTAAACATCGAGTCGCTTCGGGAGCAGACGCGCGGAGTGGGAGCTGGAAAGGGGCGTAGCTATACTACCCAGCCATACCGTATCGCCATAGCGAGGTACAGCACTCACTAGCTTCAGTCTCTCGGCAACCGTCGGCGAAGCGGAATGTCTACGCGTTCACAGCTTGGTACAGAGCTCTATTCGGCTTTTTTTCAGTAGTGGTGTTCACTATAGGGTTTTCGATTGTCTCTCAATCGTGCCTTGCTGTTGTGACGTGGGTGTTACGTGTCTCCAAAGTGGAAATTAGGTCTAATTCCAACTCGTCTGAGGGAAACAGGATATCTGTGCAGGAAACTATAGGTGAGTCTTGCATACTCATCTACTTGTGTGTTAGGGTTGATATCCTATGTTTTTTTTTTAAATAAAAAGTCATATGAATAACAATTCAACTAATTTAGAAAAATTAATCGCATTACTATTTGACGTTGTCATAACAAGAATTCTTATCGCATATCCACCTTTAATATGAATCGTTGTTTGTGAATGAAGGATCTAAGGAATATCCCCCCTGGTGCCTAACCTTTGGCCTTTGGAAAACCAAGAACTCAGCATAAAAATATACTTAATAAGTATTGAACTAAGTAACCTTGTCTCCTGGAGTCAGATACTTTCTTGAACTGACTCGGTGTGCTACCGCCTTTTCCTCCTTTGACATTTTCCACCTTGGTGCAAATTTCTGGGTAGCTCAGCAGTCCTGCTTCCTTGGTTTGAGGTCCTGGTTCTCCAGGTCCGTCCAATCCAGTGATTGGAAGCTCTTCGACGTTGGATTCGGGATCCAAATGCCAGGTTCTGCCATAAGCTGGGATACCTAGGACTAGCTTACTGGCTGGAGCTCCATTGCTTAACCTAAAGGATAAAATAAACTACTGGTACAGCTGTAAGTAACCCGGTTTGGGTGGCAACTTCAGTTCAAGATATCAACATGCACGATTTTCTCTCTAGAACACATTGAAATCTACCATGCCAGTATTGTACAATTCTTACGAAATCTCGTGCATTATTTGAGATTGTTAAGCCTAAACATGTAACCTGAACCTGAATCCATTACTTTTGTCAACATACCAGTATTTTACCCACGCATCTACATTTTCGTCATTTCTTCTATCGATGAGCTCATACAAAGGTGCAGGTACATCTGCTAGTTTCTTGTTACGTTGTGGTGTGTAGAAATCAAAGGCGTGAAGAATGATGAAATCCAAATTTTGTGACAGAGCTCTTGGGTCATAATACACTAAAAAACACAAATAGTCATCGAATAAGGCTGTTATTTCTTCAAAAGAACTTATTCTTATTATAAGGCAGGGCTTTAACGAACGATCTTTTATAGCTGCTCAATTCAGAAGATTCGAGTAAAATTTAAAGCCTTATATGAGACAAAAATGGATCAATCGTGTGTCAAGTTTGCGGGAACAATAAAAAATTGTTTGGGTGTTGTTACTTGCCCATTTCTTACCTGTGCTATTGACATTTGGCAAAACGGTCAAAGTGACCAACAAATTATCTGGCCTGAAGGTAGACTTGAGCTCTTTAATCAAGGAAGAAAATTGTTCTCTGTGCTGTTCAGCGTTTTCGTCGATGACACTTTCCCCTGCGATAGTTTTCTTTACCGAACTCCAAAAAGCACCTGAGAAAAATTAGCAGTATGTATCATTTTTGAAAATTTAACTATTGACGAATTGTATTACCAATGCCGCTCTTTATCTTCTTCGGTTTTGTTTCGGGGAATTCCCAGGCTAAGTCCATGCCATCGAATCCAAATCCTTTGATTAGTGTGTGAGCTGAATTTATGAACGCCAGCCGACGTGCAGATGTTTCCAGCTATAAATAGACAATACAGTTGATATAATGTTGAGTCATTTATTTCTACTTAGAATCCACGAAAGCAAAGCTTAGATAACCGTTTTTCGCGTAATCGAAATACAGTATTTTCACCTTCCCCTGGTATATACTTGTACGTACATTTGGCAACGCAGCATGCATTTGAACTACTAGACACGTCATTTGTTGCTTACATTTGTGAGCTGTCAGAGTGCTGTCAGATCAGTGTTATGTTCTGTGCTGTCAGTGTCAGACTGACTTTTGCTCCAGTTTAAGTTTTAGGATTTATTCATATTATTTGAAAAAATACAAATTATAAACACAGTGAGGCTGTAAACATGACTAGACACGTGCACGTATAGTTTCAGAAGACAAAAATCCACAGTCAATTTGTGTGAAATAGGATGAGTACTGAGTTTGGGGAAACTTTGCAATTGCTCCAAGAGATGAATAGGGGAACTCCTACACTAGGCATTGATACTACAAGTGATGGAAGTCACCAGTCAGAGTTTCATTCCGTACAGAATGAAGAGGCTGAAACTACTGCCGCATCAGTGGAACCATCTGATGCACCCCAAAAGTATGTCATATTAATATCATTCCTATTCTGAACTGTAGTAGTTAGAACTACTTATATGTTACTACATGATCGGTATTTACTGTGATCTGTAAATGTTTATTATAGGTAAAAATCTACTGATGCTGACAGTTCCATCATCAAAGACTGATAGTATTGGCTATGGCACAGATTACATACAGGGGCAACAGCTCCTTTTGATCTTATGCTATCATCACTTATTCAATCACTATCACAAACAACAGCTCCAGAATAAACTGCAACATTTCTTATTGCATGATGTACTTTATCAAAAATTATATTGTTTGAATTTGTGATAATGATAGTGACAGAAATTGTACCAAATGCATGTACCTGATGGCATCAAACTAGGACAGTGCAAAGTACCATCTATGTTAAATTGCGTTGTTAGTAATTGTGACCACAAGTCAGCCTTGGTTTTCATCTTTTACAGTACCTGTCTGGTTTTCATCTTTTACAGTACCTGTTGTCATTTAAAAAAAGGGTTTTCTTAAAGCTAACTTTATTAGGTTTATCAAAGCAATGGAAGACACTGATAAGACAATGATATTCTAGCCCACAATGCAACCTGGAAGATGATAACAATGTTACAGCAGATGTATCAATTGCATTAGAATTAAACTGGGGCCCAGACATGAATGATGATGATATTGTAACTGATGACCATTCCCCCGAGGAAGGCTACAAGTAAGTTACGAATGAAATTGATCAAAATCAGATTCTTCTGATAAAGATCATTGCCAAAGGAAATGATTATTTTGTATCTTTTACAGATTCAAATGTACATACTGCAATTTTCGTACAAAATGGAAATCACATCTAAAAAGACATTCCTTGGCACATAGCGATGTTCGTAATTACAAATGTACATATTGTGATCATGCCAGTAAAGATAAAGTAAGCTTTAAACGACATTTGGTCACTCATAAATCGCCAGCTGAATTAGTAATGCACAGGTACGAATACATAATGAACATTTTTTAAAATTCAGTTTTTTTTCTACCCTATTTTAAGTCCTAGTCAATAAAAGTTCATATGAAGGGTAAGAATATATAGGGTGATTGAAAAAAACGTGATATTTCTAGGGTAGAAGGTATTTATAAAAATAACCAAATAAGTTTTTCTGAATCACCCTGTATACATGATATCTAATCTTGAATTTCAATGTGTAAGTTATGGATAAATAAAAGTTTTTTTTCTATTTAGAATAAGCAGTTGATTGGTGATGAATTTGTCCTTTAAGGTGTCCAGAGTGCAATTATGAAACCAAATGGAAACACATAATGAAAGACCACATGCTAAACCATGTACAATTATCTGAATTTGAAACATTCGCTTGTCCCTTGTGCAAGGTCCATTTTCAACAAATATCTGATCTCAAAAAACATCTACTGGTACACCAGGAAAATAACACAACGGATATATACCCATGCTATTTTTGCCCTTATAAGAGTATTAGGAAAAACACTGTGAACAGGCATATCATGGGAAGGCATAGAGATTTGTGTAGAATTATAAAAAATCCGGATGATGAGTTGACTGTTATCCAGGATGAGGAACCAGTAGAGGCAGAAAAAGAGGTTGATGTTCCTTCAGAAGAAGGTATAAAATTTAGTCGGTCTCAGTAGCATAGCATAGAGGGGGGCCACTAGGTGTGACAGAGAAAAACGATTTCAGTTTTGTGTAATGCTTATTTTCTAAGTTATGGGCTTCTATAAAATTGCCTTAATTAAAATTGGTATCATATTGAAATGTATTGCATTCCGATTGAAGAAAGAATGCATTTTTTGACAAAAAAAATGTAAACATTGTTTTTTAGTCATCTGTATACACATCATGAAATTATCAGATGAAAATATATCTAAAAAAAAGGGACGTGCCATCATAACTTCTACAGTTGACTTACTGCCTTTCAGAAAATTCAGAGAGTGAAGATGATGCCGAACCGGTGAAAAAGCTAAAATGCGACTATTGCGAATTTCGAACCAACTGGAAAAATTACCTGCGACGACACGAATTAGTCCACAATGTTACTCACGAGCATAAATGCCCAAATTGCGACCATTCAACCAAGGACAGGTTCAGTCTGAAAAGGCACATGATGCTGATGCACGAAGTAGATTCAGAGATCACCATGCACTTCTGTCAGTATTGCAGTTTCGTCACAAAGTGGAAACATGCTTTGAAGAGCCACCAATTGGTGCATGCTGATCGGAGCAGTTTGACGTTGTTCAAGTGTCCTGTGTGCGACTTTGGGTTCAAGAGGAAAGCTGATCTTGGCAGACATGTGTATGTAAAAACCGTTTTTTCTGTTAGGCTATATGAAATTTTGATTTTTACAAAAAAAATATTGATGACCTGTTCAAAATTTAAATGTTGTATATACTAAGTGACATATAAATCCGAACACCCAGTTTAAATGGTTTTATTTTAATAAAAGTAGGTGAATGTATTTATCTTACTGTAAATAACAAGTGAAAAAATTTTCAGCCTTATCAGTTGGACATTCCGGTTTTTATACTGCTTTTTTTTAATTCACTAACGCTCTAAAAATGAATATTTCAGCCGCAGTAAAGAATCAACGTTGGCGGATTTTGGTTCTTGACATCCTTTACGATCGGTAACGATGCCTAGAGTACGGAGACCTGTACGATTTCGTCAACTTAGTGAGTTTGATAGGGCCGTATAGTGGGACTTCGGGAAGCTGGACTTTCTTTTCGGGCAATTGCAGTTAGAGTGCAAGGAAGTGTAGACACTGTGGTTAGGTGTTGTCAGGCATGGCTTCGAGAATGCCGTACGCAAAGAGCAAGGGGCACTGGACGCCGCCGTAGAACAACAGACCGTGAAGATCGCCGCCTAAGATTATTGGCCTTAAGGGACCGTTTCTCCACTACCAGGTCCATTGCAAATGAATGGTTTGCAGAACACGGAAGACCTATTGGTATGCGAAGTGTTTACCGACGAATGAGAAGTTTTGGCTTGTTTTCATACCGGCCACACTGGGTCCTCCCTTTAACTCGAGAACACCGACGTAATCGCCTTGAGTGGTGCAGACAACGGTCACTCTGGGATCAGGAATGGAACAGTATTGTCTTTAGTGACGAGTCTCGATTTTGTTTAGGCATGCACGATGGTCGGGCGACGTGGTGAAAGGAGGAATCCACAGTTTTTTGTTGAAAGACATGTCCATCACACTGTTGGAGTTATGGTTTGGGGTGCTATAGCTTATGGTTCCAGGTCACCTTTAATCTTCATCAGAGGTAACATGAACGCGCAGAGTTATATCCACGAAGTTCTAGAACCCCATCTTTTACCCTATCTTGACACCCTGGCAGATCCAACTTTCCAACAAGATAATGCCCGACCACATGTTGCAAGAGTCACAATAGACTTCTTTCAACATAATGATGTCACATTGTTACTATGGCCACCAAGATCTCCCGACTTATCCCCAATTGAGCACGTGTGGGATATGATGGGTAGGAGATTGCTCAATTTGCAACGTCCTCCTCAGACTCTAGAAGCACTTCGAGAGGAGTTGGTGGTTGCCTGGAATGAGATACCACAGGAGGACATTGACCACCTGATCAGAAGCATGCCTGGGCGCGTTGGAGAATGCGTAGCACATCAGGGTGCATCCACACATTATTAAAGGTCAAAGGGCTTTAAAGCAGTGCAATCATTTTGAAATTTTTATCATTTACTTATTATGATTCATTAAGTACTTATACAAAATTTTATTAAAATAAAACCATTTAAACTGGGTGTTCGGATTTATATGTCACTTAGTATACATCGGAAATTCTTACTTCATTCTACGAACATTTATGAACTGCAATTCGGGCCGTTCCTACATTTGTAGGACGCCTTTATGGCCTCCTTGATTTTCATAGTATTGTCTCTCCTCCAGAAAGGCTGGGGTATTTCTAGATTTCTACTGTTCCCTGTCAGTGGCAGCACTCTCCTATTGTGAACTTATATTTTCTTTTTAAATTGTATGGATATTTGTGACATAACCTCAAAGTCGAACGCCGACAGGGAACAGTAGAAAACTGTCTATCAGGAATAAAAAAAAATCATCAGGTATTGATGAAATTCCTTTTAATTTAGTTTTGTCATTGAGAATGATTCTTCAGACAATAAAGCATATCTATCATTGTCTTACAGGTTGAGACATGAAAGTGATAATGCAAAGTCCAAGAACAAAGGAAGAACTAAAGCTGGTAAGAAGGTAAAAAAAGTCAATAAAGATGATTCCAAAGTTAGTAAGAAGAAATCCCAAGCAGACAAGAAAAAATCCAAAGCTGTCAAGAACAAAACTAAAAGTGACGAGAGGAGATGCGGTGTTAGCACTAGAAGCTCCAAAGTTCATAAGAATTCCACTGTTGAAGATGGGAATAGCTGAGACACGTGGAATTGGTATATTGCACTTCTTTTGAAAATAGTTTTAGGGAAAAGGCATGCCCATTTTAGTAGTATTTTGATTTATTGTTAGAAATATAATTATTTTGAGCGGTCTCATTGACAGGTAATTGTGGATCAGGTTGATTTTTCTGCGAAAATGATACTGTAATCTGTTTGAAATAAATGCACTTTACATGCACATTTGATTAATAATTAATATTTGATCTTGTTATATTATGCGAGGTTCATAATAGATATGTTTACTGAAAGTTTAGCTTATTGTACATCATTGGACGTCATTTGAGGCTTATTTTTTACTGTATTGAATTGTTATATTTTATGATTTTATGGAATATAGATAATTTAATTAATATTTCCTTGTGTCATTTAATCTTGTTAACACCTTTTTATGCACTTTTACTTTGTCGCGATGATGAGCATAGTATCTTGAAAAGAAAAAAAAAAACAGCAAAAAAACCTCATCACATAGCTCGCAAGGCTTATTTTCTTGACAAGTATGTCGTTGGATTTTTTACTTCGGCGAAAGGTGAAGGTGACCCGCCTCGTATGAATTCTTTTATTGTTGGTTAGCACATGGATTAAATGAATGTTTTTTTTTGTTCGGATTCTTGGGGAAAATCAACAGGTGATAATAAAACCTGAAAATTAGATTTTGTTCATATAAATCCTCTTGCAATTAAGTACACAGAAATTAACATGCAGCTTTGGCAACTCGTCATTCCCAGAGTAATCATAATTTCAACTTTGACTTAGTCTGTCTATTAGACAATGAAAGTAATTACAAAAAAGCTTTTTACATGCTTTTTACAATGCTGTGAACAAAAAAAACAGACAAAGACGACCTTAGATTTATAACTTCTTGATTAAGAAATTTACCGTATTTAAAACCTTGAGCAGTGTAATGTTTTCTCACAATTTATGAATCAAATATGAACCGGACTTTTGTCTTAGTAATTTTATTGGTATAAGCAGTTATTTCTTTTATATGTCAACCCGTCAGTACTTCGATACAAAAAGTGACTTACGACTTCCCTATACTTCTTATTTTTCTCTTCTCCCTCCCCTGACACATCATCGTTACCGCCAACGGACAGCAACACCTTCAACTTAGGATACTTCTTCTTAAGATCGGTGACCTTGCGGTAATTGTCCTTGATGACGTCAAATTGCTCGTTCAAGGGCGTGACCTTGAGGGTGTCGTCGTTGATCGCCGCATAGCCGTAAACCAGATGGGTGCAGTATTGGAGGGCAGGCTCGATGTCCGTTATCTCGAATTTGGCCAACCCTGGGAAAGCAAAAATTGTCGATTTGTACAAGAATAGAATAATGCTTTATTTGGGTGAGCCTGTGGACAGGAGAAAAAACGTCAAAAAATCGTAACATGGAACATTTGGGATACAGAATAGTCTAATCATTTATCAGTTTTTATACGGTCGCAGATTATAAAAAATTCATACTGAAATGCTCTGAACCGTTTATAAAACTGAAGATACAATTATGTTTCAAACTGTCGCTACAATTGACTGATATTTGTCAACTGTTTTTTCGTTTTCTCGAGTTTATTTTGAACTCGCATTTTAATCGTACGAGATTTCGAAAACGTAAACTGTATTAATACTTTTAGAAAAAAGCTCCAGGGAATTATATTTCTTCGTAAACCAGTGCCCTACTTATTTGACAAAGTCATGTAGTCATCAATAATGCAGCCATTTAGCCCATCTTACATACTAAAGGGTTGTCCAATAGGGACGCAGGAAAGTAAACGTCAATTTGACATAGACGCCATCTTTGTTTTCTGTCACCGACATGTCATTTTGTTAGTTGAATGTTTACCATTGATCGCTATGGAGTCGTATTCGATTGAAGACCGCATTAAAGTTATTCAAGAGCACTACAAAAATGGTGCAAAAGTAAAAAACACGTTTCGCGCGCTTCGTGAACATTTCGGTCGTAACAACCGCCCAAACGAAACAACCATCGGTCGTCTGGTGCGTAAATTCGAGTCAACAGGTTCTGTGGCAAATCTGCCAGGCTCTGGCCGGCCAAGGAGCGTTCGCACACCGGAAAATATTGCTGTTGTGAAGGAGAGTGTGAGAGACGATCCGAAACAATCAACAACGCGTCGATCCCAAGAATTGGGCATTTCGAGAACCATTTTGCTCCGCATTCTTCACAAGGATTTGAATGTACACGCCTACAAGATCCAATTGACGCAAGAGCTGCGTCGGGCCGACCATTTTTCTCGCCGAACGTTCTCAGATTGGCTCCTTGAACACCGCCAAATTGATGCCCATTTTTCATCAAAAATCATGTTCAGCGACGAAGCGCATTTCACTTTGAATGGGACGGTAAACAAGCAAAACTGCCGCATCTGGGCGAACGAAAATCCCCGTGAGTATCAAGAGCAGCCGATGCATCCTCAAAAAGTGACTGTGTGGTGTGTATTGTGGTCAAAAGGCATCATCGGGCTTTACTTTTTCGAAAATGCGGCCGGGGACGCCGTTACCGTCAATTCTGAGCGATATCACGTGATGATAGAGGACTATTTTTTGCCGCAACTTGAAGGAATAGATATGGACGATGTTTATTTCCAACAAGACGGTGCAACATGCCACACAGCCAACGTCAATATCCATCGATTGCAGTACTTCTTCGGTGATCGCGTGATTTCGTGCAGAGGAAATGTGCCATGGCCACCAAGATCGTGCGATTTGACTACCTTGGACTTCTTTTTATGGGGATAATTGAAAAGCAAAGTCTACGTCAACAAACCAGCCACCCTCCAAGAATTCAAAAACAACATCATTGCCGAGATAAATGCCATAGAACCGACCATGTTGCAAAATGTCATTGCAAAATTTCGACCATCGAGTGGATGTCTGTAAATCCAGTCGTGGTAAACATTTGAGCGATATTATTTTTCATACATAAATGGTATAAATGAACCTTCAAAATAAAGTACCCAACTTGATTTCAATATCAATATGTCTTGTTTTAATATGCGTTTACTTTCCTGCATCCGTTTTGGACAACCCCATACATACTAACTAGTCTACGACAGTTTAAAGCATAATTGTGTGATAATTTTATAGACAGTTCACCGCATTTCAGTATGAAATATTTTTTTTATAAACTTTAAAGCTCATCTGTGACCGTATAAAAATTTCAGCTCTAAATATGTATACAAGTATACAAGAAGACGAATTCTTGAAAAAAAAAATTGTTTGAAAACTCAACTTGCTGCGAAACGAGGCTTCAAGAAAATCAAAGATTTTTCGAAAAGGAAAAATGATACGAACAAAAGTAATCACTCGTTTCATTCTTCCATAAAACAGGAATATTCACACACAATCTCGGAGCTGTACTTATATTTGTTAACAAGTTCCGATTGAAGAAAGAATGCACAAAAATGCATTTTTTGGCAAAAAACATGAAAACATTGTTTTTAGTCATCTCTATACACACCGTGAAATTATCAGATGAAAAGGATTTAGAATACAGTTGCAAACAGGAAGTTGAAACTAAGGCAACACGTCTTCAAGCCCACACATAATTGCGAGCCTTGTTAATCTTTTTCAACAATCACAAATGGCTTATTCAAAAACAATTCATTTAAGAAATGGATTTAGTCACGGATATTTGGCAATATCTGAGGCATGTTTAGGCTGTTTTCTCTTATTATTGGATATGTTGATTAATGCCCATTTAGCACTACGCTTTTATTTAGCAAATACTTCGCAAAATGCATTTCCGCGTAGGCGGCAAACTAATGTAGACCTAGTGCATACTGCAAAAGTAAACAAATCTTGTCTATTATTAGGATAATTTTTCTGTTATTGCAATTAACGTGATTACTAAAATGCTATGATAGGCGTAAACAAAGACGGGAAGTAAGATATAATCTTACAATTAGTCAACTGTGTTCTTTACTGTAATTTTTGCAATTGCAAATGTACACATCATTCAAAAAAAAGTACACTGCTATGTTGTTTTGGTTTCTTAAGAATTTTTTTGAACACACCCTTTAGTATCCAAGGGAAACAACAAGATGAAATATTGACTTGGCTGTAAATAAAAGTCACAAGGTTTTGTCATTAGCATATAAAATCAAATCGATACAAGCCTTCTAGAAAAGTAGATAACTTTGGGTGCTATTATACGTTTGTATTACCATATTTCTCAGATATTTTATAGTTTAGACATGATTATGGAAATATGTTAAATGTGGATATCGTATTGCAGATCACGGCCAGTCATATGTAAATTCTATTTACAAAACCTCTTAGACACTTATTATGTACAGTTTTGTTAGTATGATTTATCTATACTCAGAAAATATGATTACATATTCCTGGGAGTACAAATACATAATTATTCATACATTTTCAAAAACAAAACTGTTTATATGTACGAGTTTATCGTCTTAATGTCAAAGTTTATCAGTTCAAGTCGGACGAAAAAGTAACATCTCCTTCTCGAAATCATATTTGCGAATTGAAAAATGAAACTTACCGTCTCTCAGGTGAGCCTTGGCTTCATAATTGCAAAAAACCACCTTTTCGCATACAACAAACTGTGAGAGCGCTACGATTAGCAAGGTTGTAAATAACTTGGTCCCCATCCTGTGGAACCTATCTTGCACAGATTTCGACTAATAATACTGGCCGTTTAGACTGAATTGTAGCTTTTATACTGATTTCAGCATCCCACGTGTTCATATACAGGGTGTTCGAAAAGATAACAGTCGCTATAGGTATTCTTGTATTTTATTGTTATTCGTTTGCGTTGTTCTTTTTTTGTACTCGGGTTTTACAAATGTATAATCGCCCAGCAGTTTCTTGTCTAGAGCTAGAGGAATTCAACTCTCGCGATTTCTTTTGTAGTCGTAAACATTATTGTATGTACTCTTTATCTGAAGTCGCTTGAAATAACATAAAAACCTTTGGTCGGCGCGTCCTTGTAATTTCATGACGTATCATAGGCGTGCGGTCATTTATTTAGAACGATAATAATAATGTTTTTATATCACAATAAATGGATTTTACTATCTTCTTATTTTTTTGATTTGGGATAAAAAATACTTATATTGGGAGTTTAATTTACGTTGACTGAAAGTTAAGAAATGGAAAAATTACAGAATTCCAACGTTTGACATAGGCAAATATTTACATAGCAGGTAGGTATATAAAAAGGTATATAAAGACTTACATTATAGGTTTTTATATATCATCCTCGCCTTCGGAGCTGTCGCTAGAGTCATCTTGGTAGAGAATTACATCGCGACTTTTGCGGAGTGTCGCCTAGAGTTTTGATTTATCATCTTTCAGATAGATATCGGATATGACAAATGACACTGGGATTTATACAGTAATGCTGTGAAGTTATTTGATGATTCGTTGAATAATTTTGGTTTGCATCAAATAGTAGCTACGCCGACCAGATTTGGAGTCTCCTCCGAAACGTTGCTAGATCTCTTTTTTTGCTCTGATGATATTCCAAGTACTTGTGATGTATGTAATGTACCAAATTTGTCTGATCACAGTTTGATATCTATAGTCCTTGAATATGAGGTAGAAACCAAACAACCTGTACTACGTAGCTACAGAGATTTCAAAAATATCAACCAAGAATCTTTTAAGACTGCTCTGGATGAAGTTGACTTTATGCAGATAGTTTATTGTCAGGATATAGATACGAAATTAAATATATTTAATCAATTAGTTTTAGAGCTATTTGACAGATTTGCACCCTATCGAATGGCAAGGTTTACGAAAAAACCAGCTCCGTGGCTGACTGATAACATTAAATTTCTAATGAAACTTAGAGATGACAAATTCACTGCCTATAGGAAATCAAGGTGCGATCAGAAATGGGAGGAATACAAAAAGTTACGTAATATAGTAAAATTAGCAACTGATAATGCTAAAAAGATTCATTTGGAACATAAAATTAACAGTACGAACTATAAGACTCTATGGAAAGATTTAGAAGCTATGAACTTTGGCAATAAGACACCCAGGTCATCTATCCCAGTTGATTTAGCTGATGTTGACAAAATGAACCGGTACTTTACGTCTTTATCTAGTGCAGGTATAGAACCTGATGCTGATACATTTTCTTTTTATAAAAATAATGTCAAACCAAATGTATCCCTCTTTGAATTCGCTTTGGCGTCCACAGATCAGGTTAAAGATACTTTGTTTGGCTTCAAAAGCAAAGCATTTGGTGCTGATTTGATAAATACCGAAATGCTGTTGTATTGCTGCCCCAAAATTATTCCTTTCATGACACATATCATTAATGAATGCATATTGCGTCGCTATTTTCCTTTTTGTTGGAAGCACGCTTTGATTGTGCCTTTGCCTAAAGTTGCTCAGCCATCTGAGCTCAAGGATTTGCGTAATATTAGTATATTGCCAACATTATCTAAATTGCTTGAATCAATAATGGATGTTCAGATAAGAGAACACTTAAGAACGAATAACCTCATTATAGATACACAATCAGGGTTCCGTCCGGCGCATAGCTGTACAACAGCATTGCTGGGAGTGGTGGATGATGTATTGTGCAGTGCTGACAAAGGTAACCTGACTGCCTTGGTGCTCTTAGATTATACGAAGGCATTTGACAGGATACATCATGACCTACTCTTAGCCATGCTCCACTTTTACGGATTCTCGGCCGATGCAGAGTCTCTAATGCGAAGCTACTTCAGCGATCGACAACAGCAGGTAATGCTGAATGATAAGTACTCTGCGCCATTGAAAGTGACCATTGGTGTTCCTCAGGGCTCCATTCTGGGTCCGCTAATGTTCATTATTTACACCTCTAATCTATACTTCAGTCTTCACTCTTGTAAAGCTCATTTTTATGCAGATGATACACAAGTGTACTTATCATTTCCTCCAGCTCAAACATTGCCTGCTGTTGATCTGATAAATAAAGACCTTGATCGTCTCACTAAAGCTTCTCGAAATATATGCTTAGACTTGAATCCGGCTAAAAGTACAGTCATGTTATTCGGGCCAAAAAATTGGAGAAACCATTGTGAACCTCTGGTGAAAATAAACCTCGATAACAATACTTTAGAAATAAGCTCGATAGCGCGTAATTTAGGCTTATACCTTGACAAAAACTTGAGGTTTGAGGAACATGTTAACAAGTGCTCCAGAAGGGCGTATTCTAATTTAAAGACGATATACGGTCAAAAATCTTACATCAACCAAAAAACTAAAGTCATACTGTGCAATTCTCTTGTTTTGTCGCATTTTAACTTCTGTGATGTCGTCTATGACAAATGTCTAACTAAATTCACTTCAGATAAAATACAACGCGTGCAAAATTCTTGTCTGAGACTTATTTTTGGTTTGAGTAAATTCGATTCAGTGTCAGCAAAGCTTACTGATGCTGGCTGGCTGAACATGAAGCAACGCAGGCTGCTTCACAGCCTCGTACAATACCATAAGATTATTATACAAAAACTACCTTCCTACTTACACGAAAAAATTCATTTCCGTTACTTAGCTCACAATCGCAATACCCGCAACAAAACTAAACTGACACCGCCTTTTCATTCTACCACCTTATTCGAAAGATCTTTTTCGTATAATATCAGCAAACTTTATAATAATATCCCGCGAGAGTATACTTCTCTTTCTATTGATTTGTTTAAAAAACGTATACGCTGCTACATTGCAGGGAATTGCATGGTATGACTTTGGAGGCATTATGTATTTTTATAGTACCATTTTACAAATTAGCCGCTAGGGTCCATTCTCTGATACTGCTTATACATGTATGTATGTATATGTGGGTATATATGTGTATATATGTATATGTATGTGTATATATGTATATGCTCTTTATCTCATTTTTATATATATGCTTACCTTATTATTATGATGTAAACCTAAAACCAGGGGTTAAGTGGAAGAGCGGATAAGCCGAACTTCGCCCCTCCCACTATATGTTCTTATAAGACTGGTTTTGCAACTTGTTTTGTATTTTCTTTGGTGGGAATAAAGACATTATTATTATTATTATTATTTACAGGAGGCAAAACACAATATTCATTTTCTTTTTCAATAGTATGCCTAGAACACTGCTTCCATAGGTCTGTGGCAGCAATATGAGATACTGCATCTCTTATTGTGGCCAATAGCGATTCACTTAATTGAGGGGTCTGATTATGTTTTCTTACTTTTTTTTTAAAGCAGCCCAGACCAACTCAATCGGGTTAAAAATGCAGTAATAGCGAGGTAGACGTAATACTTCCATGGCCATTTTGCTGAAGCAGATTGTCAACAACATACTATTTTTCAAATTTTTGTCTTTTAATAAGATCCAATAATATGGCTTTGGTTGATTTTTGTGGTATTTCCATTCCCTTATCCTTCATAAAATCAATAATGTCTTATTTTTTTGTGCCTGTATTCGGAATTTTGTTTTTCTGTCGGGAATGGTATGGCGCATTGTCCATAATAATCACTGAATTTGGGGAAATGTTTGGTATTAACTGCTGCTCTATCCACTTTTCAAATAAGTCGGAGGTTCTTTGATATTTTTGGCAGATAACAGCAAGGCATTAGGTATAAATCCATTTTCACTGCCAGCATGGAGAATAATGATTCGTTTTCCACGGTTGCATGGTGCATTTAAAGTGCACTTGTTGCTGTCGTCAACCCAGCCGTACTGCACAACATCATCGGTATCATACCATGTTTCATCCAGGTAAATCGGATTTCTTTTCTGCTATCTATAGATTTTAACTTTGTGCAAAAATTCTTGGCGCAATTCAACGATTCGAGACGACTCCATAATCACCATTCTTTTATCTAATTTTTTGTATTGAAAACCACACAGTTTTACAATACAGTGCAGTGAGTCTAAGCATTTGTAATTATAAAAATCTTCAGGATAATCTTTTAATTTATCCCGTATCATTTCCAACGTGGGCACCAAATTTTCTTTATAAAATCCGTATAATACGACGAATATCTTCCTGAAAACCCACGTCTATTCTTTTTAATTTTTGCCCTATGCGCTTTCTGTGGAAGGAATGGTTGACTACATCTCCCCTTTTTATAACCCGATAAATGGTAGACCGACTAATTTTTGTCAGGATACAAATTCTGTTTAAATTTGATTTGCGAGGAATCTGGATTTTCGTTTTTCAGACAATCATACATATTTAGGATTACTCTTTGGGTCTGTTCCTCTAAATCTTTATGAAAGAATTCTGCCTGCACAGGTTCATCAACCATCTCCTCGTGGCTTGGAGCATTTTCCCAAGGTCTCCAAAGAGCCATATTTAGGACACACAAGAACAATCAACACAGCAATTGAATCAACAAGTAAACAGAGTATTCAAAAGTCAAAAACACATAAACTAATAAAATCTATGAAAAAACACGGACAGACTAAAGAAAACACGTTTATTCACCGCTACACGGCACTGGCTAAACTGTTTCAATTGTCAGTAGCCACCTGCACTTGTTCGGAGCTCTGAAATACACGCTTTCTCATTGGCTATGTCCACGCATAGGCGTGCTTTACTCCACGTGGACCGGTGAAACTGCCTTTGATCTTATACGGGGGATATTTGCTGCGAAATTTGGCGATTTTTGCAGCAACAGAGCGTGTTAAATATAGATATATAAAACGCACCCGGTATTTCACAGTGTTTCAAGTGACTTCAGATAAAGTATACTTCTGACGTGGAGTGGGCCACCTGTATGCTCGTTTAATGTGTGTTCTCTTTTCTTTCTTCTCTTAATATAGTGTTCTTTATAATAATGACATTGGGAATGCTTATCCTAACAGATTTTTTTTGGTAGGTAATGATGCACGCGGCTGTATTACTGAGGAGAGTTAAAAAATGTCAATATACAACTTTTCAACAGTATCATGATAACGCAAAATATTAGTTATCTTTGGACCCGAATTCACATTGTTTTGTAATATGACTCTTGTATTATTTTTTAGCTTAAATCTGTGAAAATATCCAATAACGTTGACTACTTTACTATGAAAATTATTAGCTGTTTGATAAGCTAGAATTCTGTTAGAAAATATTGTTGTTGTTTTAGGAAACTCATTATCACCGTTAACACTAATAATTAATTCGGGTTATCAGATTCCTTTTAAGGATATATGATAAATAATAAACACATAAATAAAAAACTTCCACTTTATTAGGTCAAACTAGATTAAATTAAATGCAGTCGATTTATACTGTTTACATCCAACCCCAATATTAAAAAACACTTTCTTATGTACACCTTATTGCTTAGACAGATCTTTTTGCTTACAGTATTCTGAAAGATTCAGGCTTTAACATAAATACACGTAAATGTAAACGAACTGAACTACTAGTATTCGAGAAATATTGAGATTTCTTGTGCGATTTGATTAAGAAGATTACTGTGAATACAACTTTTGATAATAGGTGGAAACTTGCTCCTTCACAAATATAAAATCATTCAACACGGTGTTTACAGTCCAAACTTGGCAGCTCTGAGGAGAGGGTATTTATCCCCAGTACAAAGACCTCTGAAATCATCTAGGGTAAGGTCTATGAGGGCTACGCCTCCCATACCCTTAGCCTTCACGTAGCTTGCCTTGCTGGTGACCGTGTCTGGATCTTCAAAGGATACCCAGATGCCCTCTTTGTCATCCTTAGGTAGTCTGAAGGCATATGTGCCTGCAAGAAAATGAAAAAAATGTTAATACATACACTCTTAAATGGTAGTGTGTTTCGTGGTTAAAATCGATAAGGAACGAAAATATTTGTAGTGTGATTCAAAAGTATTATATTGTCTGGGAACGTAGCCTTCGATCTGGCAACACTGGAGGCGCCGGGCTTAGAGGGAGACAGGGGAACATGCGATCCGTCTTCAGTACACGTTTGAACTCGCACGTTTTAACTTATTTCGTCGCAGCTATGGCGTGAAATTTTTACATTACTATTAACACTTCTCGTTAATAGAAAAAAGTAAAAACGCTCGGAATATACCTTTAGAGGCAAGATAATGATATACTGTTGAAATACAATTTTTGGAAAATACCCCATTCGTATCACAAACAGCTACAGATACGTACCAAATCTTTTCGAAACGTCTGTAGTGTTCCAGTACTCTGAAAATATAAGGGGACCTATAACATTACATCTAATTCATGACAGTTATAGTACAGGACATACAGAAAGTCAATTGACAAATGATATGCTCTTAAAAAGATATGGTACCAGGATTCCTCTGGTTGAAAAGCAACGTCTAAATAACTTACCGAATCGTTTGGTGGGATCATTGATCTTCCTCAGTTTTCCAAGGTATCCAGCCTGGATTTCCTTGGGTGTGGCGATCTTGGAGCATACCTCAGGATAGGACAACAAACCGGCCTCTTTAGTGTACGGTCCCTCCTCTCCAGGGCCTTCGGTATAGAACGGCGGCACTCCAGTCAGTCCAGAGTCTTCAGTCATCCTCCAGGTTCGACCAAACGTTGAGATAGCGTAAATCAGTTTGTTTGCTGGGAAGCCATTTTGGAGCCTGGAGAAGAATCAGGAGACTTATTTAGGCATTTCGATAAAAAATGTCGTGTTTAAGACTTGAAACTGCGGCTGAGTATGGAAGTGTGGTATTGTTTTTGAAGAAATTTGCAGGTTCTATTATACACTAATCAAAAAAAAAAGAAAAAAGTCTAAAGTTTTCGATAATTTTTGACAGGCTCATCTCATTCAGACGGGGCACTGAATATTTTTCCAAATCCTCTAGAACCACGTTGAGCAGATATGCTATAGGATGACTCCAAGGATAGTGCAATATTTTTAGTGCAGGGGCTACATGAAAAACATAACAATGAGAAAAAAATAAAGATTATTAGAATACCTACCAGTATCGTACTTGGTAGTCACCATTTTCGTCAGATTTCCTGTCGAGGAGTTCATACAAAGGAGCTGTGTAGTCGGCTTCTTTTGGATTACGGAGGGGAGTGTAGAAGTCAAAGTTTCTCAAGGTCACAAAGTCCAAGTGCGGAGCCAAACTTCTTGGATCGTAATATACTGAAAAAGGACATTATTTTTCTCACTCAAAACATAATATGTACCTGATAACAAATTTGCTAGATTTTTATAAAGGATGCTTCAAAAAACTGCATGCTATGTACAAGGTTCATGTCTCTGCAAAATGGCTTATGCTAAGTATCTTATGAGCGCCAAATAAGTACACAATTAAACTAGAATTAAACCAAAAAGAATCGATGAAGTAGAAAAAAATAAAATTATTATGCGTTTGACTTTTTACTACATGTACAATGACAGGAGCAGTAAATTTTATGTTATAAAGAGACCTAACTATTTTTTATATCTAACTTTACCTATCTATAAACAAAAATAAAGGAATAACGAAAAAAAAAAATGAATTTAAAAAGTACTATCATTGATTCTATTGCATATAAAACAATTAATAATCCCAATGATATTATAACATATTAACTACCTTTTTTAGTCCATATGCATTTCAAACTTTCAACATTTTTCTTTTTCTTTAGTACTTGATTATTCTTTAAAAGCCCAAAGCTCCCAGTTTAAATTTACCATTTTTGAATATTTTAGTACTTTTCTATTAACGTATGGTCGCAATACTTTACACTTAAAATCTATTACAAAACACACTAACACAGAAAACATATACAGGGTGTCCGCAAAGTTGGGGTTTTTACTCACTCTCCAGTTGACGAGAAGGGCTACCGAGCAGACGCAGAAACCACATTGATTGTCTTACACTTAATGGCACATCTTCTAACAAGGAAGGCAAAATGTTGCGTAAAAAGTCTAGGTATTGCATCCCGTCCAATCGATTTGGGAGAATAAATGGTCCAATGAGCATACCGTTTACCATGCCAGCCCAAACATTCACCGAAAATGTTTGTTGAAAATGTGCCCGACGGACAGCGTGCGGATTTTCTACTGACCAAACATGAGTGTTGCGAAAGGTTATTCACTCCATTACGCGTGAACGTAGATTCGTCTGTCACCAATATGCACTTCAAAAAGTCCGGATTATTGTCATGTTGATGCAACAACCACTCACAAAAACGCACTCTTGCTGGAAAATCGTCAGGTTGAAGGGCTTGTACACGTTGGATACAGCCCCTTTCACGCAGCGTTTGCCACGCTTTAGTTTTTGATACTTGCACTTCTCTAGCCACGTCTCTAGTGCTTATTGAGGGATTCTAGTCTACGCGATTACCTCTACACGCGTGACCGTAACCGTCGGTTGAAGGTTGCATACTGACCTGACACACTGACCCCGACCCAGTTCTGTCGTCGGGTTGAGCCAGTGACCTTGTACCACGCGGTGATGTCGCGGGTCGCGGCTACAGGACGGTATTCAGATATTTTTGATGTTGCAGAGCCCTTTATCTCGGTTCCCTTAAGACATTAGTGTATATGGTACTAAGAAAAATTGCGTATGTATTCAAGATCTACACGTCGTGTAAAGGAAAACCCCAACTTTGCGGACACTCTGTATAAAATGACCTCAAAAAATACAGTGTTGATAAAAAACGTTTTGTATCGTTCTGTTTGACAGAGATGAACTGGGCATGAAGTATGAGACTTGATATAGGTAATCAAAATGAGCTTTCTGAATCTGGTAGTTTTATTTATTTCGATAGGAAGTAGGTTTACATTTACTTACCGGTACTATTGACATTTGGCAAAACGGACATGGAAAGCAGCAAGCCATCATGTCTAAAACTGTTTCTTATCTCCCTAACTAAGGCTGTGAATTGTTCCTTGTGTTCCTCGGCCTTCTCATCTATCACTGATTCGCCCACAATTTTGTGTTTCAGGTTGACGAAGAACTGTTCTGTAACATAGCACATTTTTATACCCTTTTGGCGTAATTATTTATCAATAGCGGCAAAGTATTTTGCGCTCGTATTACGCATACTATTTTCTCTTGAACCTCCAGGATCTTTCTGTTCATATATTATAATTAATAATAATATAATGATAATGTTATGCTTAGTGCTTCAATACCTCAAGAGCGGCAAAGTATTTTGCGCTCGTATTGTGCATACTATTTTCTCTTGAACCTTCGTTTTTCTTTACCTATATTATAATTAATAATAACAATATAATGATAATGTTATGCTTAGTACTGCAATACCTCAAGAGCGGCAAAGTATTTTGTGCTCGTATTGTGCATACTATTTTCTCTTGAACTTCCAGGATTTTTCTTTTCCTATATTATAGTTAATAATAATATAATGATAATGTTATGCTTAGTGCTTCAATACCTCAAGAGCGGCAAAATATTTTGCGCTCGTATTGTGCATACTATTTTCTCTTGAACCTCCGTTTTTCTTTATATATATTATAATTAATAATAACAATATAATGATAATATTATGCTTAGTGCTTCAATACCTTAAGAGCAGCAAAGTATTTTGCGCTCGTATTGTGCATACTATTTTCTCTTGAACCTCCGGGGTCTTTCTTTTCCTATATTATAATTGTGAAATTGATAAAAATATATCTATACACATTACTATATCATATGATGATGACTTCTCGAGTTCTGGCAACATGGAATTATTCCAACGTTGGTTCAACCGCAGTCAGTATCGGGAGTTTTAACTCTTTGTCGCTCTAGAACGGCAAAGCTGATATTTGCGATTGGTCCTCGGAAAATGATAACATTACGTGCCAGACTGCGAGCATTTACCGGTATTTTTGCGGCCGGTAGTAGGTGAACTCTTCAGTTCACATTTTGATGCAGTTTTTTTTCAGCTACTTATACAAATTTACTGAATCGTGCATTGTGATACAAACTGTGAATTGATGATTCAGTAATCTATAGTCGTTATGAATACAAGTGATGATAAATCAACTTATATGGGCGTTATTAATTTACATATGAAAATGATAGTTTTATGAATAATATTATGTATATTTATCAACAGACTACTTACTAAAACTGCTTCTGATTTTCTTGGGCTTTGTCTCTGGGAATTCCCAGGCCAAGTCAAGGCCGTCGAATCCATAGTGTTTAACCAGGTCTTTCGCGGAGTTAATGAACGTTAGACGATGGTCCACTGATTCCAGCTGAAAAAAAATGTTGATTTTACGTTTATTGAGTGAAGATGATTTTTTAAAATTCTTGCATACCTGCACCAAAATCTTATTCAAAAAGCACCATGTTTTCCGTCAAAATTGTTAAAATAATATGCTGAAAAAAATTCCAAAGATTGTTTTCTTTGACTCGGGACAAACTTATTTTTAACTTTTTTTGGGGTATTCCGAATAGAAAAAATGTATAAACTATTTTCCAAATTTGTCAGTCTTCGAGGTATAAGCAATTTTTTATTCGAAAAAGTGCAAAATCTGCCATTTTCGCCCCGAAAAACAATGAGAAAAAACGAAAATTTTAATATTGCTAAAGTTTCTAAATATTCTTCAAACATCCACGAGAACCTCAACGAACGAAATCAAAAAAAAAGGATGGATGCTTGAAGAATATTTGACGACATTAAATTTTTATTCGTTCCCATTGTTTTTTTGGTGTCAAAAATGAGGTATTTTACACTTTTTTAGATATTAAACCGCTTATATCTCGAAAACTACCAAATTTAGAGAAAAGCTTATAAAAATCTTTTTTGTTCAAAATGACCCAAAAAACTAAAAAAACTGCCCGGAGCTAACAAAAAAAATTTTGGAATTCATGTTTAAACAATTTTTGACCCAGTTTTGCAAAACAAAAAACGGAAGACGAAAATTGAAATCTGGGACTTGACCCTTATTTTTTTGAAGTTTTCAATTACAACCAACGTATTTTTTCTGCCGTTTCTGATTAAGATATCAACTCACCACAGTCCTGTACACCAGGTTCTTCTCCTGTCCCTCTCCAGACTCATCGTTACCCCCACCAACCGACAGTAGTACCCTCAGTCCAGGGAACCGCCTCTTCAGTTCCGTGATGTGCCTGTAGTTGTCTTTGTTGACGTCGAACGCCTCATTCAGGGGCATCATTTTGTAGTTGTCGGGGTTGATGCCTGCGTAACCGTAGATCAAGTGGGTACAAACTTGGAGGGCTGGTTCCAGAAACGGGATGTCGAATTTACCCATACCTGAAAAGAAACAAAAATGTGATTTTTAATATTGTTGAGTGTTCCCAAATTAGGGTATGCAATTATCGAACTCCTACGATATTCCATAAAAAAATCGTGTTTTTTTCGATATGTCTCTATATAATGTTCAATTTCCAATATTTTTAAATTGTTTTAATCTCAAAAATCATATGGTAACTTTTTAATAAACACATGCGTTTACTGTAATTGTTTTAGTTTTGTGGTTTTTACGCCTTGTGTCTTTTCGTGGTCAATCTTTGTACTGAACTTTTTCATTTCGGTGCTTCAGTCACGATTCGCGAGGGCAAAATATACACGACGATACGTTAGCGATTTGAAAAAAGACACTATTCATTCAAAGTTCATATTTACGGTCTAGAAATATTGTCAAAATTTGTGAATCATCATGTATACTAAGTGACATATAAATCCGAACACCCAGTTTAAATGGTTTTATTTTAATAAAAGTTGGTGAATGTATTTATCTTACTGTAAATAACAAGTGAAAAAATGTTCAGCCTTATCAGTTGGACATTCCGGTTTTTATACTGCTTTTTTTCAATTCACTAACGCTCTAAAAATGAATATTTCAGCCGCAGTAAAGAATCAACGTTGGCGGATTTTGGTTCTTGACATCCTTTACGATCGGTTACGATGCCTAGAGTACGGAGACCTGTACGATTTCGTCAACTTAGTGAGTTTGATAGCTGGACTTTCTTTTCGGGCAATTGCTGTTAGAGTGCAAATAAGTGTAGACACTGTGGTTAGGTGTTGTCAGGCATGGCTTCGAGAAGGCCGTACGCAAAGAGCAAGTAGCACTGGACGCCGCCGTAGAACAACAGACCGTGAAGATCGCCGCCTAAGATTATTGGCCTTAAGGGACCGTTTCTCCACTACCAGGTCCATTGCAAATGAATGGTTTACAGAACACTGGAAGACCTATTTTCATGCGAAGTGTTTACCGACGAATGAGAAGTTTTGGCTTGTTTTCATACCGGCCACACTGGGTCATCCCTTTAACTCGAGAACACCGACGTAATCGCCTTGAGTGGTGCAGACAACGGTCACTCTGGGATCAGGAATGGAACAGTATTGTCTTTAGTGACGAGTCTCAATTTTGTTTAGGCATGCACGATGGTCGTGCCAGGGCTAGAAGGCGACGTGGTGAAAGGAGGAATCCACAGTTTTTTGTTGAAAGACATGTTCATCACACTGTTGGAGTTATGCTTTGGGGTGCTATAGCTTATGGTTCCAGGTCACCTTTAATCTTCATTAGAGGTAACATGAACGCGCAGCGTTATATCCACGAAGTTCTAGAACCCCATCTTTTACCCTATCTTGACACCCTGGCAGATCCAACTTTCCAACAAGATAATGCCCGACCACATGTTTCAAGAGTCACAATAGACTTCTTTCAACATAATGATGTCACATTGTTACCATGGCCACCAAGATCTGGCCTGGAATGAGATACCACAGGAGGACCTTGACCACCTGATCAGAAGCATGCCTAGGCGCGTTGAAGAATGCGTAGCACATGAGGGTACATCCACACATTATTAAAGGTCAAAGGGCGTTAAAGCAGTGCAATCACTTTGAAATTTTTATCATTTACTTATTATGCTTCATTAAGTACTTATACAAAATTTTATTAAAATAAAACCATTTAAACTGGGTGTTCGGATTCATATGTCACTTAGTATACATGCAATATTTAGCGAACAATTTTCATGAATGAGTCATCTGCAAAGGTGGGTTACAGCCTCCGTTTGCACCTATAATTTCGTACAGGCATATCGTATTTCATGTCAGACATCGTACTTGTGGGTCATGGTTATTGCAGGAACTCGAGAGCGTAAAAATACAAATAAATTTTATTCAAGGTGACAACATGTTAAAAACAACCATTTATGCATTTGTCTCGTTCGAGTGATAAAGATCTAATCACTTATGTATGTATATTACCGCTTGTGGTTGCGAATAGCCTCAAGGTTGGTATGAATTCTAAACTTGGGCCTCTCCTCTACCGCAGAAATCCAGAAAAATTATAAAATTCCTCATCATGGCAATACTTCATATTTTTTCAGTTTCACTTCCCACGTGAGGCAGAATGGTCGTCGTAAAATATTTCGAAAATGAGTTTGTTCTTTGGATGTCATCGGACGTGGAATGTAGACACAAGGTTACGATTATGCTGAAGTTTTTGAAAATAGATCTAGTACTTCGTGTTTTGATGTTTCAGAATCTCCCGATCATCTCAAGAAAGGCAGTGAAAAGATAAAAGTAAAAGGATCCCGTATTTCTATTATTTTAATTTTACCGACAATATTAATGATAGGTGATTTCCAATAAACTGTTTACTGTTCATTTCTAGGCCAATATTTTCATAACATGATCTATTTGTCATCTCTGTTAGAATGATATATTGAGCTCAGAATGATATCAAAACCGCATTTTAACATAAAATTGGTTAGTGGGTATCGTATGTTTTGTGGATATAAAGATATGTAAGTGATCCTGAGGTCATTGTAAATAACCGTACATAATAATAATACAAACATTTTGCTCGAAAATTAATGTAACATGCGCTTTCTAATTATTTACAGAGGGATTAGACGATTTTAAAGGTTCCAATATTAATTCTATGAAGTTTCGCTGTTTTGCAGAATTTCCGGAATGTTTACATTGGTTTCTAATTATTAATAGAAAATGCGTCTGTGTGCATTTTTATTGTTACGGCAGTTTTCATGCTTCGACAAAATTTTAGTGTTCAAAACATGTGTAATACTCGTACATTGACAATAAATCCACGGATTTCTTCATGACTTGAGTTTATAGGCAAATTTAAAAAATATAAACCGGAAATAAATCCATCAAAGTCTTCGTGGATTTTTTCACGAAATTTCTTCTAATTTTTGCCATGTTGAACGTCAAATTCCACGGTGCCAACAATGTTATATACCCCAAAACATAATCCGGATGTCCTTGAAGAGATCCATCGGATTAAATTTGTGAAGAAATTGATATAAAACGGGTATAACACCACTACGGGCTTTCACCATTTTTACGATTCGATAAGAAAGCAAAAGAACTACCAAATGAAGTGTGTTTTCTCAGTTTGAAGCACTTAGCTCAATTTTGTTTAACAAAGAAAATAAAAAAGCTCATATCCAAATAATTCGTACGGAAAATTATAATACCTACAATATCAGCTTTCAACCGTAAGCTTTTCATCGTTTATCATTCCATATTTGTCTCATGTTGCATTCACTCATTGGCCAACGTGCACACGGTGATGTTGGCCTACGTTGGCCAATATGTGAATGCGACGTTACAGTTCCAAGGATTTTGTCGTTTTTTCTTCATGTAGCCGTAATTTTTTACAACCTAATGTTTTTATTGAATTCTCCCTATGTTTTTCGTTAACAAGCACTATCTTAGTGGTATTCACTGGATATTAGTTAAAAATTAAAATTGCTTAAAAGAATCTGATTTTATCAAATGAACAATAGATGACATGGAGGAAAAGTACAATGGTAGTCGTGAGAGTAGAAACTAAATGGATCTTTTTTAGCTTTGCGATCAAGAGTGCGATGAACTACAGAATATTATTACCTTCTCTGAAATTAGACCGGTGGTCATAGTAACAAATGACCTTGCTGTCTGCCTTGGCATAACACACGAGCGCTAGCAGCGTCACGGCTACGATCTTTACCATTGCCATCTTCGACGAATACTGAATAGCCGAGCAGTCTTGGCGACCAGTACTACTTGTCACTGGTGGTCAAGAATTATTATGCAAAGTTGGAGCTGCGCGTGATTTTTCAGAGAGGGGATTAACGCGCTTCCTCGAACGAGAATTATGATTTAAAATTTTGAATATCGCTTCAAGGAAAAAACTTATATCAATGTATATTAGCTCATTTTCCTGATAGCTAGCTATTAGAAGTGAAGTGCTGTTGAAATATACTAAGTGACATATAAATCCGAACACCCAGTTTAAATGGTTTTATTTTAATAAAATTTTGTATAAGTACTTAATGAAGCATAATAAGTAAATGATAAAAATTTCAAAATGATTGCACTGCTTTAAAGCCCTTTGACCTTTAATAATGTGTGGATGCACCCTGATGTGCTACGCATTCTCCAACGCGCCTAGGCATGCTTCTGATCAGGTGGTCAATGTCCTCCTGTGGTATCTCATTCCAGGCAACCACCAACTCCTCTCGAAGTGCTTCTAGAGTCTGAGGAGGACGTGCAAATTGAGCAATCTCCTACCCATCATATCCCACACGTGCTCAATTGGGGATAAGTCGGGAGATCTTGGTGGCCATGGTAACAATGTGACATCATTATGTTGAAAGAAGTCTATTGTGACTCTTGCAACATGTGGTCGGGCATTATCTTGTTGGAAAGTTGGATCTGCCAGGGTGTCAAGATAGGGTAAAAGATGGGGTTCTAGAACTTCGTGGATATAACGCTGCGCGTTCATGTTACCTCTGATGAAGATTAAAGGTGACCTGGAACCATAAGCTATAGCACCCCAAACCATAACTCCAACAGTGTGATGAACATGTCTTTCAACAAAAAACTGTGGATTCCTCCTTTCACCACGTCGCCTTCTAACCCTGGCATGACCATCGTGCATGCCTAAACAAAATCGAGACTCGTCACTAAAGACAATACTGTTCCATTCCTGATTCCAGGTGACCGTTGTCTGCACCACTCAAGGCGATTACGTCGGTGTTCTCGAGTTAAAGGGAGGACCCAGTGTGGCCGGTAAGAAAACAAGCCAAAACTCCTCATTCGTCGGTAAACACTTCGCATGCCAATAGGTCTTCCGTGTTCTGCAAACCATTCATTTGCAATGGACCTGGTAGTGGAGAAACGGTCCCTTAAGGCCAATAATCTTAGGCGGCGATCTTCACGGTCTGTTGTTCTACGGCGGCGTCCAGTGCCCCTTGCTCTTTGCGTACGGCCTTCTCGAAGCCATGCCTGACAACACCTAACCACAGTGTCTACACTTCTTTGCACTCTAACTGCAATTGCCCGAAAAGAAAGTCCAGCTTCCCGAAGTCCCACTATACGGCCCCTATCAAACTCACTAAGTTGACGAAATCGTACAGGTCTCCGTACTCTAGGCATCGTAACCGATCGTAAAGGATGTCAAGAACCAAAATCCGCCAACGTTGATTCTTTACTGCGGCTGAAATATTCATTTTTAGAGCGTTAGTCCAACTGATAAGGCTGAAAATTTTTTCACTTGTTATTTACAGTAAGATAAATACGAGTACATTCACCAACTTTTATTAAAATAAAACCATTTAAACTGGGTGTTCGGATTTATATATCACTTAGTATAGTACCAGCTTGTGATATGCGATGGGATGTTTTTACTTCTCACGCCTACTGGCCGGGAAGTATTGTGATAGCGAAAATTTTCGTCAAAATGAGATATTTTATTTTTTGGATTATACGAGTATATGACAATCATTTTCATCGGTCTGTACGCTATTCTTATAGCTATAACTTGAGAAGTATCGCTTGCATTTCGATTAAATTTTTACACAATGATACTACTATACCAAGGATGCGAAAGCTTGTAGCTTTTGAAAATCGGTCAGGAGGCGGCAGAGGAAAAAGCCAAAAACGAAAAAAATAAAAATCGCTCAAACTTCGCTTCTTGACGTTTCAGAGGATCCTGAACATTTTTGGAAAATCTTTTATACTAAAGCACTGAGGGGTGAGGCTCCCGGAGCCGTGCCGTCGGCCTTGGTGAGTGTTCTGTTGTTCTGGTATCGTATTACACGTCATAGAATACATTATGCTGTTTTTTTTGACATTATGTAGGTTTTTCTACCAGTAATGCGTGTAGTTTAGTTGGGTGATTCCTCCTTAGATGGACGTTCACCACGATCCTAGTGAGCAAACGTGGATTGACTGTTTGCGCCCTAAAAACTACCTAGTTTGCAAGATGACATCTTATAGGTTTTTTTGACGTTTTATAGGTTTTTTACCTGATACCCATGCGGGTTAAGTCGTCAGTCGTTCCTACAATTGTAGCGCGCCTTTATGACATCCTTGATTTCGATCGATCAGCCATCTGAACAGCATCGAGCATGGATAATGTAGTCGGGGCGCAGCACCCCAACCGTGTGACCAGTACTCGAGGCTAGACTGTGAGACGTTTTGAAGCTATAACAGAAACAATCTACTTGACTTCATTTCTTTGCAAATGACCCACGCACGGTCGGAAAGGTTATAAGAACATTATTTTTTGATTTGATTAAGAGTCCATTAATATTAATAATAAATCCGTGATACCACCTTGATCGCGGTCAATTTGGTCAAAACATCCCGAGTGGGAAGATGATGCATACGACAAAGTAATTGAAGGAACTCGGTCTATTTTGCGTATTAACCAATTTGCGAAACAATTTGCTAAATGAATCACATTCTAGAGAAGGTATTTTTTGCTCTAGAATCTAATCGTCAATGACAGTCAATGCTAATTTCATGACCATGCATGTCGCGGGTATTTACGCAGGACAAAGTAAATAGCTGTATGATGACTGATGTATAGATAAAGACTTGATTGCCCAGGAAGTAAACGCATATACAAAGCTTTCAAGAAGATCAATATTAAAACAACCTAAGGAATATGTACTAAGTGACATATAAATCCGAACACCCAGTTTAAATGGTTTTATTTTAATAAAATTTTGTATAAGTACTTAATGAAGCATAGTAAGTAAATGATAAAAATTTCAAAATGATTGCACTGCTTTAAAGCCCTTTGACCTTTAATAATGTGTGGATGCACCCTGATGTGCTACGCATTCTCCAACGCGCCTAGGCATGCTTCTGATCAGGTGGTCAATGTCCTCCTGTGGTATCTCATTCCAGGCAACCACCAACTCCTCTCGAAGTGCTTCTAGAGTCTGAGGAGGGCGTTGCAAATTGAGCAATCTCCTACCCATCATATCCCACACGTGCTCAATTGGGGATAAGTCGGGAGATCTTGGTGGCCATGGTAACAATGTGGCATCATTATGTTGAAAGAAGTCTATTGTGACTCTTGCAACATGTGGTCGGGCATTATCTTGTTGGAAAGTTGGATCTGTCAGGGTGTCAAGATAGGGTAAAAGATGGGGTGCTAGAACTTCGTGGATATAACGCTGAGCGTTCATGTTACCTCTGATGAAGATTAAAGGTGACCTGGAACCATAAGCTATAGCACCCCAAACCATAACTCCAACAGTGTGATGAACATGTCTTTCAACAAAAAACTGTGGATTCCTCCTTTCACCACGTCGCCTTCTAACCCTGGCACGACCATCGTGCATGCCTAAACAAAATCGAGACTCGTCACTAAAGACAATACTGTTCCATTCCTGATCCCAGAGTGACCGTTGTCTGCACACTCAAGGCGATTACGTCGGTGTTCTCGAGTTAAAGGGAGGACCCAGTGTGGCCGGTATGAAAACAAGCCAAAACTTCTCATTCGTCGGTAAACACTTCGCATGCCAATAGGTCTTCCGTGTTCTGCAAACCATTCATTTGCAATGGACCTGGTAGTGGAGAAACGGTCCCTTAAGGCCAATAATCTTAGGCGGCGATCTTCACGGTCTGTTGTTCTACGGCGGCGTCCAGTGTCCCTTGCTCTTTGCGTACGGCCTTCTCGAAGCCATGCCTGACAACACCTAACCACAGTGTCTACACTTCATTGCACTATAACTGCAATTGCCCGAAAAGAAAGTCCAGCTTCCCGAAGTCCCACTATACGGCCCCTATCAAACTCACTAAGTTGACGAAATCGTACAGGTCTCCGTACTTTAGGCATCGTAATCGATCGTAAAGGATGTCAAGAACCAAAATCCGCCAACGTTGATTCTTTACTGCGGCTGAAATATTCATTTTTAGAGCGTTAGTGAATTAAAAGAAAGCAGTATAAAAACCGGAATGTCCAACTGATAAGGCTGAACATTTTTTCACTTGTTATTTACAGTAAGATAAATACATTCACCAACTTTTATTAAAATAAAACCATTTAAACTGGGTATTCGGATTTATATGTCACTTAGTATATTTTTTTAGTGCCTGGTTATTAAAACTTCAACCTTAATTTTCTTATATTTTCATACAAACTAATAGTTTTCACTAGAGGAAATACATTGATCTCTTTTAGATAACACAGGTCGACAAGATTTTTACCCAGAAAGCAGAGTAAACTTTCACGAAAGCTTTTATGAACCGAATCCGAATCCGCTCAATTGGCTCTGGTTTTCGAGATATTTCGACCTAAAAGTGCAAAAATAGAAAGTAGTACAAGGCTTGCCCTTTCAAATGCCGATGAATTTGCTTAAATATATTTTTTTTAGCTAAGAAAATGCACTTTGAAATTATAATTTTTCTGAATTTCACCATATTCGTTTATCTTATTTTTTCAATTTATAATCTTTTAGGCAATGAAATACATGCATAGGATTTTCCAACTTTAAAGCTAAAAATAATTTTTGCATTGAAAAATATGCAACTTTATTAACTTTCACTACGTACTGAATATCAGTGAAATATCTGAAGAGGTTCTGAAAATATTAATTAATTTCCTAAAACTTCAACACCCCGAGATTTTGTAAGGAAACATTTTTGGACGATAGTTTATAAGACAAACTAACATTAATTTTTCATGTAGATTTACACCCTTAAATATTCGCATATCATCAAGGAACGCCCCGCATAAAACAAACAATAAAACAATAATTATAACGTATATCAGGCGACTTTGTTCTAAGACGGTATTTGGCAAAAGCCACATTTAAGTCAAAAACAACGACGGGAGCGTTAAAATTTTTAGTC